GTAAAAGTCAAGTAAAGAANTTTTTTTCTCTTAACTTAGAATAATAAAAGTAAAACTCAAGTAAAGGAAATTTTACAAGAAATTCAAAAATAATAACTTCAATGCTGTTTTCTCAATAAATAGCCCACAAAAACACTACATACAGTAAAAAACATGTAAAAGTTTTAAAATACGTTATAACTGATTTTGTTGATTTTTAATTATTTATTTTCATTTTATTTTTTGGAAAACGCATATTCGTTTAAAAAAAGATTCTAGAAGTTTAATTTTTTATGCCAAGTACAATAATTATATTAGATTTATTATTTTATGGACAGTTAATTAATGATTAATTGTAAACCTAACAGTAATTGTTACAAACAATGAGAACAATAGAAACCCGTTTCCTGACTTACTGAACACCCTGTATATTAGCTCACGATTTCTTTCCTGTTACCAATTTTGCATTAAAATCCCCCATAACGATTGTTTTTTCAATTTATTCATAACTTCATTAATGCTTTGGTAGAATTCTTCTATCTCATTCTCCTCTTTGTCTGCCGTTGGAGCGTACACCTGAATGATGTTAACATCTACTGGTGTAGCTAATAGCTGTACGAGTATAACTCTTGAAGAGATTGGTATGAAGTTCTTTATTGATTTAGCCATTTTATCTGCCAGGATGATACCTACTCCATATCATGTGTTCCAGTTGTTGAACCTGAATAAAGTACTTTGTGGTTTTCTATATTTATGTTACTTCAATCTGGCCATCTCATTTCGCTGATACCGAAGATTGAAATATTCATCCTAGCCATTTCATTAATGGCATTGTGTATTTTTCCTGCCTGGTACATTGTTCATACATTCCATGATCCAATTCTTACTTTCCCCTGCTTCTTAATCCTGCAACAAACATCAGTACTTCTATATGCAACCGTTCCTCCTGGAGATCCGAATGAGGACTTACTCCGGATAATAATTTAATCGCACTCGTAGTCATGATGATATATACTAGGACTTATCCATTCTGGATCTTTAATGAGGTGGTTTGTCTGAAAATTCTTCCTCATTCCTATGCCGTTGACCGCGTTCTGCTATTCATCCGCCTTTAGAGCCGGTTTCCCAATTCCAGGACAATAGAGTGCCCCTCTTATGTCGGCTCCTCCACCCACAGCTGTTGGCTGACATGAGTTAGATCGCTTATGCCGGCGATCCTTAGTCGACTTCTATGATAGGCGTGGAATTACCGTGAGTAAATTCTACTGTCCCTACCCACAGGGAGAAAAAGAAGTATAAAAAAGAGTATATAAATATAAAGTTAATAAAATGGAAGAAGAGCTAACACTGATCTAAACAGCTATTTAAAATCGATTACGGCCAGTTTTTTTTAGAAAGATCAATAAAAAAATTAAAAGAATTCAGCAAAGTGGAGACGTGGTATAGTTGAGTTCAGTATAATGATATCTGACAGTGATTAAAATCACTATAAAAAAAAAACGCTTCGATGCAAATCTTTAGATAGTGTTTAATTTTAAAAAATTGGTGGATTATTCCAAAAGCTACATGATCTGCTAGTTCATTATTAATATCCTAATTAAGATAAAGTATGTCGAATGAAAAAGGGATTATTAAAAAATATTATTTCTCATAAAAAAATAATGTTGATCCATACACTTTTTAATATGTCATAGCATTATAAAGTTAAAAATATAAAAAATAAATCGAGAATTTTCACACAATAATAGCATTTGGTAGCCATTTTCACCGTCAAGACAAAAAAAATTCCGAATTTTTTTTTTGCGTAATAATGTAAATTACATTAGCTTTAATTTAAGATATATATAAAAGTGTCAGAATTTCTGGAACACTTTCAAAATTTAAGTTGAAAAAGTCAATTTTTTGTGAAAAAGATGTCATTTTAAATATCCCCTGTGAGNCAATTTTTTGTGAAAAAGTTGTCATTTTAAATATCCCCTGTGAGCAGGTAAAGGGTCAGATATGAAAAAAATATATACCAAATAATAGGTAAAGACATCATGCATCTATAAAAAAAAGAATTATATTGATCCATACATCTTTCAAAAAGTTATAGCATTATAAAGTTAAAAATATAAAAAAGATTTTTTTTACAAAAATCGTATATTTTTTATTTTTATTTTTTAAGCTTGATGTCTGTTTTCATCATGAAGATAAAATAAAGTCTGAAATTTTTTTTTACCATAATAAAGTATATTACATTAACTTTAATTTAAGATATATATAAAAGTGTCAAACTTTCCGGAATACTTTCAAAAGTTAAGCTGAAAAAGTTCTACTTTCCACATGCATTTTTTAGATTTGAACCCACCTCAAATATAGGGAAATGGTCCGATTTAAAAAAACAGTATGTCGAATGAAAGATGTATATAAATACTATTTCTCATGAAAATATTGTATTGATCCATACATTTTTCAAATAGTTATAGCATAATAAAATTAAAAATGTAAAATACAGGTTTCCACCATTTACGGGGAACGAGGGAATTTTTTTTTCTTGGTCTTCCTCTACCTCTTTTTCCTTCAACATTCATTTCTATAACTGTCATAACGAGATATCCTTTAACGTCTCTTTTCATACTCTTCATTCAGTAATTTTTTAAAATACTCTTTTCACCTTTTTTTCACATCATCATCTCTCGAAAGTACCCTATTATCAGCACTTATTATACACCTTATATAATGATAATCTTAAGACCTTTTCTCTATTACTTTTTCAAGTCTATAGATTTCTTTCTCGCCTTCCTTTGTTCCTAGCTTATCATATAACTCATCATACCTCTTAAACTTCGCCTTACTTACTGCACACTTGGCTTCTTTACACACAATTCAATTACTAAAAGTGTTATTTATCCATAAATAATAATTATAAATCAAATAACTAATAGGGATAAAATTAAGGGAATAAGAGTTATTGTTGTTTTTGAAATTATCTACCAATTTCTTAAAATTAAACACTATCTAATGATTTGCAACGACGCGTTATTTATGATAGTGATTTTAATCACTATCAGATATCATTATACTGACCCAACTAGTCCACATCCCCATTGTGCTAGTTTTTTTTTNATTTCCCTTTATATATATTCATATATTACAATATTTTTTTTTTTTAAATATTCTTTTATAAAAATTTAGAATGATACCTATCCCAAAATGTAAAATATTTTTATTATTTATATATTTAGAAATTGGTCACCATCCTACCATTTTTCATTGTTTACTGTTTTATAAAATTAATACTTTTGTTCTTCAAGTATTTTGTCATTTTTAACTTAGTAAATTTTTATTCTAAAAATAAGGTGGATGGATTCATGGATTGGCATTTAACAAAACTGGTAATCGATTATGCTGGGTTGCACATGATTCATCTATAACTGTGGCTGATGTGACCTCTGGTTCAATAGTTATGAATAAATTAAAAACAAATGAATTGCCTTTTATTAGCTGCATCTGGGTATCAGAATCATCAATTGTAGCTGCAGTAAGTTTAAATATAAATCTAGCAGAATTTTATGAATAATTGAATTAGGTAGACTATAATTAAACATACAAATTATTATCATAAAATTTCCCAAAAATAAGCTAAAAAAAAGAATTTATCAAACAACAAAATGTGTTTTTAAAAATATTATAATCAATATATTTAATATTTTTGGATATTATACTCTTTTTTAACTTTTTTGTTTTTTACAAAATTGTATTATGGTTGTTTATGGGTTTTTATTCTAGTTTTGTACAACTAAATAATATTTTTGAAAATTTAAACTTTTTGTTTAATTAATTTTATTATGATGTGTTTATTTATTTATTTATTTTTATTTTTTTGTGTGTCTGTTACCACTTTACTCAGCTCTCACCGAACCGATTTCTTTAAATGACACGTCAAAAGATCACAAATCGTATCTAGTCGAACATTTTACCCTCAAAAATTAAAAAAATTCCCTCATTCCCCGTAAACGGGGGAAATTCCCCAAAAAATTACAAATTTAAAAATTGCTACTTTTCGACATTTTTTACAATTTTTTTGACTTAAAATTACCATAACTTTTTCAAAAATAAACAAATCATTATTTTTTTTTAGATACATATCATTACCTATCATTTGGTATATTTTTTTTATAAATTTGACTCATTACCTGCCCACATGGGGGATTTAAAATGACAAATTTTTCACAAAAATTTTACTTTTACACTTAATTTTTGAAAGTGTTTCGGAAAGTCTGACACTTTTATATATATCTTAAATTAAAGATAATGTAATGTACTTTTTAAGGAAAAAAAATTTTGGACTTTATCTTGTCTTCACGGTAAAAATGGCTATCAAATGCTATTTTTATGTGAAAATTCTCGATTTTATTTTTTATATTTTTAACTTTATAATGCTATAACTTATTGAAAAGTGTAAGGGTGATTCACACAATTTTTTTATGAGAAATAATATTTAATATTATTCAATAATATTTGGATAACCTATTAGTTAATTAATTTATTGATATTACTTGAACAAAACATCAAAATATATTATATAAAATGTTTAATAGTGTACTATTATGTGAGTTTTAATTAAATTATTTAAAAAAATGATTATAAGAATACTTATTTTAAAAAATTATTTGCAATATCTGAATATACATTGAACGAAATAACTGCCTAGATGTAAACAGATTGTAATTCACATCATTTAAAAATTAATCTAACAAAAACTTTTTTTTTGTTAGATAATAAAATCTAATGAAAAAAATTATAATCGGACCGAAAATATTAACATAAGAGTATTCTGGGAACTCCTAATTTCGTTGAGGTTAGTAATATTTACGTTAAACAAATTTTTACATTGATATAAGTTAAAAATACAAATTTTATAGGTATCTATGAAAACTTAATCATAGTCTGACAGACTTGATATCATATATCCCCTACGATTGAATTAATTTGTACTTATCGAAGATCGTTGCTTATCTGTCTTAATCGGTAGAGAGGGCACACGTATGTGTAACAGTTGGCGTATCTTGCTTTTGAAAGTGCGATGGAAATTTTCTTTCAGTGTAAAAATAGCCACCGTTCAAGTGTTTCACTCAATTAACGTTTTAACATTGTACAATAATTTATTTTATTAAATTGAAATTTAACTTTTCTTCAAACAACAGGTAAGCTGAACAAATATGTTCTAACTCAGCTGAATTGTGGGTTTTCCGATCTCAAATTGCTATAACTTTTATTTGATTTTAAAGTTGATAATTAACAATTATTTAGCTTCATCATACACAAGTTAATTATTATTAACTTTATTATTAGTCTTTATTACTATTTCTATATTACATAAACTAACGGTTAACAATACCGTGATAAATTATTGAGTTAGAGATGTATATTAAAATGTTATTATTATTTAATTCGACTAGTATATTTTTATATTGATTAGTTTTTTAAAATAAAAAAACAAAAAAAAATAATGAGTATTAAATTTGTTTAATTGGAAAAATAAATTATTTATATTTAAATAGCTATATTAATGCTTTTGTTCAAAAAGAAGATAGCAAAATGTGTGTTATTTCACATTCAAACTAATTTTGTTCTTAACCATTAATTACACATATTTAATAACTTTTGTATTGACTTTTTTAAATCTAATTCTTAGCATTTTTATGAATAAGATTCATAATATTGCTTTGCTTTTACAACTACATCTGTCAGTAGATTTTTAAAACACTATTTAACCTAATGATACATTTTTTCTTAAACTTCCAAGATAATAATTTATACTTAGTATTGATGTCATTATGCGTCGATAATTTAATATATTTTGTGCCTTTATATAGTCATAAATATTTTTTATATAACAGAATGTGTAATTTTTTTATGACCGATAAAAACATTCTAAATCAGGCCTACAACAGCTTTTGAATTTTGAATTTTTGAAGGGGTGGAGGTTTCTTCTCGAGATATCTTTTATTGAATTTAAAAAGATTAATAGATCCGTAATCCTATTAATGATTCTCTTAATTCTCATGATTCAAATAGTTTTTTATTCGGTTAATATTTAATGTGTATAAATGTTTATCTACTTTTCGAATATAATATTTTGATAGATTTTCAATGCAATTCTAAGTTAAGAAAGTATTACGATGATATACTATTTGTTGTATCCTATTGATTAAATATTAATTCCTTTAATATATCTTTAATTCTATCTTATGTCAAAACGTTACCAATAATATACATTTATGGCTATTATTATCTTAAATTTTGGTACAATTCTCAACATTTTTATGAATTATACTTTAAAAATTAACTTAGCAAATATTAATTACCTATGCATTTAATCATGGCCGTATCAATATTTTTTCTGGAGAGGGAGGGAGATTTATATATATACATATATACAGTATTGATTTAAATATTCTTCAGGAGATAATCTCAGGGTGACAATGATAAAATAGTTAATTCGAAAATTGACTCGATGTTTCATTTAATATAGTTGTAAACTGTTTTTTTTTTTTTGCTCATCAAATTTTTTTTTAATAATTTTATGAAAATTTGGCAAACTATTTGTTTTTTATTTGTACCAGTGCTAGAATCCTCTCTAGAAAAAAATTCTGATTTCAACACTGTATATAAATAATATATATGGATCAAAAAAAGTCGATCTACGAAATTTTAATGAGAACCGTTTTAACTTTATTATATACATTAAAATAGGCATTTTGTAAAGATTTGAGATTTTTAAAAAAAAATTACTGGTCGCTCAACTTGTTTTTAGTATTTTGACAAAAATATACCCTTAAAAAGGAAAAAAGACCTTTGTTATTAATTTTTGGAAAGATATTATGTTTAGCGATATACTAATCATAAACCGTAAAAATCAAACTAAATTGATATAATTTTGTTTGATTTTTACTGTAGAATACAAATTTTGTAGTTTCAAAATTTAAAGTCAAAAATTGATAGCGTGAATATCATCATAATTAACGTTATTATATGGTATATTTCTAGTAGGTCTCAAGGAAGCCTAAATTTTTTTTTTTATACAATTTATGTCAGCTATAATTACCATTATTTAAAGTCCTTAAAAATATATTATTAGTAGGGCTCATATGTTCATTCACTAAAAAAAGATGTTTTTCTTGGTAGTGATAATGCCATAACATTATTTTCATTTTATTACTCATGTACCCTTATAGTCATACCCTAGTTAAACTGTTATTTAGTAAATACCACATAAATATTTATTAAAGTCGTTCTATCTTACAGGCAATATTATGAGTGACCGTAGATTTGGATTCAGCAGCCATTTTCAAAACCGTTGTGCATTATGCCTGACTGAAGATGACAGCAACAGAAACATAGGTACTGCCGTTTGTCAACACAATGCCAGTGTAGAGTCGGCACTACACTATTTGCGTAACTATGGAGCGCCAGTTAGTCCACCCTATGCTTCGTACCATAGCGGACACGATGGGTCGACTACCACGCTACCGGCGTATGGGGGATCTCCACCTATGTCGCCTAATTACTACAAACTGGCTGAATTTCTATTGCGTATGAATCAAATGCAAGAGAACGGTGGCCACCAAGTGCGCCAGCCGACTTCCAGACCGCCCAAACCAAAATCTGAATTGGGTTGTCTACGGGAATGCGCGTTCTGCAAGAGCAACGGTGAAACTGCGGAGTTCTACAAATCGCACTTCCTTAAAGACCCCGTTGGTCGAGTCAGATGCCCTATTTTGCAAAGGTAAATGATAAATTATATTTTTTTTTAGTTTTAAAATCTTACGTTATGTAAGATAAAAATCAAATGTAATAAAGTTAACTTACATTTATATCTTGTTTTATAACATTACTGAGATTCTGATTTAATATATGATTAGTGAGCAGGTAAAAAAGCAACTTTTTTTATTGCATGTACATATAGACATTCAAAAGCATATCAAACAAACAAAGAAAATCTGATATTAACATTTGTGATTGTCTCTGTAATATCACGTTGTAAAGACATATTTATGGGAGAACTTTAGGGGCGCCCCTCCAAAAATTCATGAATTATCTAAATTTTTTGCTAAAAGTTCCTTACAAAATAATTTTACCATAACAAAAAATGATTAAAAATAATATTTAATACAAAATATGTAATAAAAATACATTTTAGATCTCTTCCACTGAAAAAAGTTTTTAAATTATTACCATCCATATAACAGTTAAGTTGTAAATTTTCCAGGAAAGACAAAAAACTAATCCTAAACATATATTGAATTTAACGACGTCACAAAATTGGAATTTTTAATGGCAAAATTTTTCATGCTGAAAATAATAGGTATATAACCAAAAAAAAATATATTTAATGATAATAATAAAAAAAAACCTTGTTTTTAAACCTAGTTTTTGTTACGTGGCATTGTAGGTTTTTTAATATATGCGTAGGCACAACTAGAATAACTTTTGTGAGGGGACTATTGTAGTCTCCCCAACCCTCAAAATACTTTTATATGACAATATACATAATTTTCTAAATTGGGGAAGCTAATTGTTAGCTAAATAGGTGTTAATAGGTGTTTAGCCGTCTTTGTTGTAATTATAAATATACGCATTTGAAAAATAATTATATGGTAAATGTAAAAAACTTTATTACTCTCCTGATAAATTAAAATTAGTAGCTTGTATCTGCAGATCATGTATATATTCGTTAATCAAACAGATAATCACTAGGACTGTAGATTTGCTCATCATTTTTTATAAGTGAGGCAGGTGCAAATAAAAAAGGGATGCTAGAGGTGACCCCCGTTTAATTTTTATTAATTTAATTGATTAGACGTAAACATTGCAATATTTTTCTTTTATACTTAATCTATATTATCCTTCGTTAAAGCTATAGCGTATTAAATAAATTAATTATATAAAAAAATGTAACTTATCTCAGTAAACTAATTTTAAATAGGTAGATTGTAGTTTTATGTGTACTACCTGTAGATATTTTACCATAACACCACTGCATAAATACAGTAATTATACTTAAAGTTTAACTCAAAAAAATGTCTCTATCAAACATTTTCTTATAGGGTTTGTGACTTATAAAAGTTATTTAAATCTCATGACATGTAATAAATAAATAAAAGTAATTATGGCCTTTTTTAAAATTTTTATTTTGAGTAACAACTTGAATCAGTCACTGGATCATTTCGATAAGAATCGTAGGGGTATGGCACTTTAAAATATTTTATAATTTTAGACACATGCAGTGTTGAATTCATGTATACTTCAGCCTCTCTAATATTTTGTTAGCCCTTCAGTCCATCATTCATAGATGTGACGACGTAATTATTTTTAAAAATTGTCTCGATGTTTGGTCAATTATTGAGTTAAAGACGTTTCTTTGACAATGTGGTATAAAATTAACTATATTAATGCGTTAAAATTTTATCTAGCTAAGGCCTACCTATTTGTGGTGGAATTATTTGGGGTGCGTATATGAACTAACCTCGAACGTTGCTAATTATAAATTGTAATTTCCTGTGTACGCGTTTCTAAAATAACATTTTTTCTAAACTTTTACACAAAATTATATAAAATAACATCTTTTATCGACTTGTTTCAACCTTGACCAAATTAATTTATTCATTTTAAATTTTTAATTTATAAAGTTATACATTTTTTTATATCATAATACATTATGTTTATTTTTGGTTATTATTTAGATATCAGTGTCCGTTTTGTTATGCGACCGGAGAAAATGCGCACACTAGACGTTATTGTCCGAAAAATCCTAATAAAATGTGCTTTATAAAGGGTGAACAATTCGTTAAACAAAATTTGCAATGAGGTTATATTTATTTATATGTTTAGTAGATATAATATATATTGTTGTTTTAGTATAAATAATAATTATAGTAATTAATAAAATATTAATTTTATTAATAATTTTACGAATAGATAACTACAATTATATTTAAAAATAATTTTACTTAATTTAACATGATATTTATCAGTATAAATTTGAGTTTTATTTTCTGATCGCTTGTACACAAACTGTTTCAATTGTTTTTAAATTTTGTTCTATTTGCATGAATGAAAATATTATTTCAAAATATTAAATAATTATTAAACATTACATTTACATTATTGCTTGTAATGTTCTATATATAATTTGTGTTTTAATTTAATAAACAATTTTAATCAAATTTATAAATCTTTCCTATCTGTATAAATATTTCCACATCCTTCTACTATTATAACGGTAATATTCAATAATAACATTAATATAGTATTATTACCTTTTTAATTCAATATAACCTTCCAAAATTAACGTTATTGTATCAAAATTTTTCTCAAAACAGTAGCATAATCAGGAAGTTGGTTTGAAAAGGCTGCAGTACCTTCTCTCCAAAATTTTAAAATTATTACTATAGACTTTTAAAAATAGCTGATGAATTCTAATTAGTGTTTAACTGATTTTAAACTGCTATCATTATTTTATTAGTGGATCTTATCGTTTATAGTCTAAACAATTATTTAATGTTTGATATGTATAGTTGCGCATTGTCGCGAAGGTATTAAATAGTAGCATTACATGGTTTTTTGTTATTATTACATGATATGATTACCATCGTTTAACCATGAAGATATAATAAAGTCCGAAATTTTTTTTTTTTAATATTAAAGTATATTACATAAGCTTTAATTTAAAATATATATAAAAGTGTCAGTATTTCCAGAACACTATCAAAAATTATGTTGAAAAAGTTCTACTTTCTATTAGCATTTTAATGATTTGAACAACCCCTGTATTAAAGGAAATAAGCCAATTTAAAAAAAAATTGTCAAAATAATGTTAAATTAAAGAGGTATATAAATATTATTTCTCATAAAAAAATTGTATTTATCCATACATTTTTCAAAAAGTTAAAGCGTTATAAAGTTAAAATTATAAAAAATAATTTTTTTATTAACTTTGATGACTGTTTTCACAAAACAAAATAAAGTCCAAAATTTTTTTTCTTAAAAAAGTATATTACATAAGCTTTAATTAAAAATATATATAAAAGTGTCAGTATTTCCGGAACATTTTCAAAAATTAAGTGGAAAAAGTTAATTTTTTATGAAAAAATTGTAATTTTAAATCACCCCCTGTGGGCAGGTAAAGTCAGATTTATAAAAAAAATATACCAAATGAAAGGTAATGATATCATGCACCTAAAAAAAAAATTAAAATGATTTGTTCATTTTTGAAAAAGTTATGGCAATTTTAAGTAAAAAAAATTGTAAAAAATGTCGAAAAGTAGCGATTTTTAAATTTGTAATTTTTTGGGGGATTTCCCCCGTTTACGGGGAATGAGGGAATTTTTTTCAATTTTTGAGAGTAAAATCTTCGACTAGATACGATTTGTAATCTTTTGACGTATTGTTCATCAAAATCGGTCCAGCGAGAGCTGAGATTAAGCGTTCACAGACACCAAAAAAAAGGCATAGTAAAATTAATACCTTTTCTCAGCTTCGCATTGAAGCTAAAAAATAATTAAGAAAAAAAAAATTGTTTAAAATTAATATTGATTTTGATTATTAATATGTTAAAAATAAGGAAAATGAAATATTTAACCTATTTTTTTAATCCTTTAAAGTTAATTTTTGTGAAAGTTAATTAAAAAAAATTAATTTAGTATCTTAACTTTTAGCTCAATTTACAATTTTGAAATTGGCATCATTAAATAGAAAATTTTTTGAAAATTAAAAAAATTGTATCGTTAAGATTAATATGCAGTTAAGAAGTTTTATAATTACTATTTATAGTAAATTTATCAGAAAAGCTCAAAACCTAAACTATAGTAAAATAATTTTAATATGAATAAGAAATTTCTTCTCCCGAGGGGCGACTACAGTGATGGGATCCTTGATCTTTATTGAATCTAAATGAGATAAAAATCAAAAGAGTTGAAAAATTAAAAAGAATTAAGAGAAAAATACAAAAAATTCTTGCTATACGCGGTTGGAACCTTGTACCCTAAGCACGTAGGACACAAGTTTTAAAAAAATTTAAATAAGTTTAACTTTCTACGCTATATTAATTTGATTTATACAATATTTATGAAAATTAGTGTACTCCCCTTCAGTCAGGTATTTTAAAATAAAATAAAATACAAAATTCTGAATTTTAACACAAAAATAGCTTATTTTTAAATACGGTTGTCATTTTCACCATGAAGACAAATCCAGAGGTCAAATTTTTTTTTTTCAAAATAAAGTATATTACAAAAACTTTAATTTAAGGAATATATAAAAATGTCAGCCTTTCCAGAACATTTTCAAAAGTTAATTTTTATAAAAAAGTTGGTATTTTAAATTCCCCCTTGTGAGCGGCTGTGTTAGATTTTCAAAAAAATGATATCAAATGAAATAAAATATCTAAAGTTTCAATATAAAAAAAACTTTTTTACGAAAATTAACTTTTCAACTCAACTTCTGAAAATGTTCCGGAAATAATGCGTCCTTTAAACATATGTCAATTTAAAGCTTACAATAATTACTAGAAGTTCAAAAAAAAAATTTGTCTTGACACCTTTTCTTCTATAGGAAAATGGCCGTCGAATTTAACGAAAAATGTAATTTTTATGTAAGTATCACTGTTTAATATGAAATATTTTAATACTTAAAACTGCCATAACTTTTTAAAAAATGAACAAATTAAATTTTTTATTTTTATTTTTGAAACCTTAGATATTTCTCTTTCATTTAATATAATTTTTTTGAAAATCTGACTCTAAACCAGCCCACAAGAGGAATTCAAAAAATCAATTTTTGCACACAAGTTAAGCTTTTTCAATGTAATTTTTGAAATGTTCCGGAAATATTAACACTTTTATTTAATTTTAAATTAACCCATCAACGCCGAGAATTATTTTTTTTCAAACTTTCTATTTTTTTTACTAAAAACAGATTAATATACAACACAAAAATAAAAAAAAATTATTTTTAAATTTTTTGAAAATACGATTTCTGAGATATTGAGTGTCACCATATGGGTACACTCGGCTTTTACCTATTAAATTATTATTCTAAGAACGCGCGATAAAAATAGCAATACGAATGTCACCATATGGGGACGCCAGGCGTTGATGGGTTAAAATTTATATTACATACTTTATTATGAAAAAAAAATTCGAAATATAGATTTTCTTCTTGGTGAAAATGGTTACCGTATTCAAAAATATGCTATTTTTGTGTTAAAATTCAGTGTTTTTTATTTTAAAATATCGTACAAAGGAAATACACTGACTTTCATAAATATTATATAGTTTAATTGATATAGAATAAAGTTCATAAGACATAAGAAATTAAACTTATTTAAATTTTTTGGCTTTTTTAAAGTCGAAAAGTAACTTTAAAATTTGAATTAGTTTTCGTCGAAAGCGACGGATACTGAATCGGTAACATTTGAGTCTTAGACGATTAGGGTACCAGGTTCGAATCTGCCTGTGACAGTAAATATTTTGTATTTTTTTAAGTAAGAAAAAGTGTTCAAATCATTTGATTTTTACCTCATTTAGATTTATTAACTTCAATAAATATGAAGAATCTAATCACTGTCTTCTCCCCTCATGAGAAGATATTTCTTATTCATATTAATATTATTTTACTATGTGTTTGTTTTTTTTGTGGCTGCGATTTATTTTTCCAACCCTCACTCAACTAACTTTTTCAACAATATGTCAAATGATTACAATACGTGTTTAGTTGAAGATATTACTCTCAAAAATTGAAAAAAATCAATCTTAATCAAATGAAAAGTAGATTAAACAGCTTTATCCATACAAACAATTAAAATCATTAATTTCTAATATTTTTGAAGTATTTATTGATGATTTAGATTTGATATAATAAAAGTATTCAACTACAAAGGTAAATAAATTTACTTTGTAATTTATTAAATTTTTAACTCTATTTGCGTGTGCTATTGCCAATCTATAATATTCCAATTTTTTTTGTAACATGTTGCAATATAAATCATAAATCTAAAAAAAAAATATTTTTAGTTTTACCTCAATTTAACAATGGATTTTTACAATTATAATCAAATTTTATAATACACTCAATTAAGTAGATCTTTTTAATTTTATTTTATTGTTTTTTTTAGTTAAAGTAATCATTAAAATTAATTCAGTTCTAAATATTTCAATTGTAAAATCTTTAAAACACCAAAACTATGATTTCTATTTAAGTGATCTATTACGATAAAAATACAAAAAAAATCGAGCTTTTGTGATAAATTTACCTTAAATAGTAATTATAAAATTTGTGACTCCATATTAATCTTAACAGTACCATTTTTTACTATTTAATGATGTCAATTTCAAACTTGCAAGTTGTGTTAAAAGTTATGGCAATAAATTTTTTTTTTTTATAAACTTTCACAAAAAAAGTAGGTTAAAAATAATTACTTTTAACATATTAAAAATCAAAATCAATAATTAATTATAAAAATTATATAATACATAATTAGAAAAATATATATATCATATTTTTGAATCTAAGAATTACTAATCTGGATATAATTAAGGAAATAGATGTTGAAGTTGCTTTTGTAATTATCCACCAATTTCTTAGAATTAAACACTATCTACAGATTTGCATCAAAACGTTTCTTATGATAGTGATTTTAATCACTGTCAGATTATATCTATACTGGACCCAACAATGCGATACCCCCACTGTGCTGCGACCACACTATACTGGGTTTTTTTAACTATATAAGCCTAACATGTAAACATGAAATCAATACATCTTAAATTTAGAATTTAAATCTAAAATATAGTTACATAGACTAAGCAGCGGTCATACTTAAATGTATGTTTTTAATACCAAAAATATTTAAATACAATTTTATTTGTACTTTAAGCAGATAATCAAATTCAGTAGAAGGCTCCTACAATATCAATATTGTAAAATAAAAATAATTTGTTTAAAATTAATATTAAGGTCATTCATATAAACTCTAAATAAAACTTCAACCTAACTTAAAAAAAATAATAAATGTTTATAAAAATAGAAAATATAATCTTAAATCCAATTAAAGTTTAAATAAACAGTTTTTTAATATTTATACTTATGAGTTATTAAATTATTATTTTAAAAACTCTATAATTATTTAAGGTTTAAAAAATTTATTCTCCTGGTACCATCCAATTGATTTCTTTGCCACACTTATAAAGCTCTTCAAGTTTATCTTTAAGTATTCCATCTTCTTCTAATGTTTTAAAACATTTATACAGTTGTAATGTAGCATGAGCATCTTCAACTGAGTCATGAGTTTTTGATTGAATTTTATTTCCTAAAAAATACCATGCTAAAAACCGTAATGATACATTTCGTTGGTTAGGTAGTCTAAATAACGCCACTGTATCTATAATTTGGTCAGGTGGAACTATTAAATTGATCATTCTATAAAATTATAAACATAATTTTTTAAATTTATTTTTTAATCAATTAAATAATACTGCAATAAAAATATTTAATTACCTAAAGTCATTGTGCAAACCATGACCTACAAATTTTATACCATTATCCACTAAATAACGTAGTTTCATATAAGTAGCTTTGAGAGTAGTAAGATTTTTGGAACTTTGTCCAATATCCAAGTCACCCGGATTAATTCCTGAAAATTGTGTAAGATAATCTACTATTTGTTCCTGTGTTGAAATATAATCATCTATAAAAGGTTTTCCTTCGTACGGACCTTCACTATTTTTACAAATTAAATTATATTATATTTTAATAAATAAAAATAATTCTTTGAACCAAATGAAAATTACCCTCTAATACATGAAATTCTAGCAACAGCCATTTGAACAGGTTTAATAGTTGTCAATTTGCCATCACTTCTTAATTCTGATTCTTCTTGATTAAGAGTCACAAATTCTGCATCTATCGCAACTAGTTCACCTGTCAAAAATTATTAATAATTTAGAACTAACATTTACTTAGTTTTTATGAGATAATATTTACCTGGTTTAGGAATTTCTTCAAATGTAATTACATTACTATTTTTCAAAGACGAGTTTAAATAAACATTTTCAGTAAAAACTTTTGATGTAATGACAGGATTACAAATTTTTATATTATTAAATTTATTATTTCTAGATACCCAGTATAAAATACAAGGAATTTTCCAATCCAAACTAAACCAAATTGCCTCTTGCTCAACAACTCTAGAAACACTTATATCATTAAATATGTACCACTGCGAAGCAGGATTACTGGCTGAAATGTGTTCATGATATGATTGACCAACATTTATGATTGATACAAGATTTTTACGATCTTCATTTATATAACAAACAACTGCATATAAATCATAAATTTTAGAACAATCTATTTCCTGTTTATTTGGTTGATCTTCATCATATTTTGACATTACTAGTTCACCATTTAACTGAAGATCTACTTTAATATGAAGTGGAAGCCATGTATGTGTATAATACAATTGAGATAAGCTAACTGAATTGTTAGTTTCTAAATTTTTAAATTAAAAAAACATCAGCAAATTAAAAACATTTTATTCTAAATCTATTTTACCTGCTGTTACTTGTCCAGGATGCATAAATCGACAACTATGCCTAGTACAGTTGCTACCATAACGACATGGTTTATTAAAAGAAGTGGGAGTACTAAGTACATTTTTTGCATCATTTGCCTTAGCAACTGCTTGTTTAACTAAAATATCCATTTGTTGTTGCCAAAAATCTTTATTCTAAAAATAGAGAATATTTTTATAAAACTAACAATTTAAATTAAATATATTTTTCCAACAACTGACTTTTTTACTCTCAATGGCACAATTCACTGTTAATATAGATGGTAATGATTTAAGTGATCTTGTTTGAAGAGTTTGCTGAAAACTTTCACAATGTTCACACCATGTCATAGTTGTTTGTTTTGGACAAATACTTTGTTGAAGTAAATCACAAAAAGACATGGACTGTCCTAAATATTGAAATTTAATCCTTAAAATTTAAATAATTAATTCCAAAGTAATTTTTTTTAGCAAACCATCATTTAATTCAGGATAAACTAAATTGCAAACCATTAAATTTGACTGTTTACTAAATTCATGATTGCATTTTAAACATTTATTTTTGTGTAACTGATTACATCCAAATAATTTTGTTATGTCAGTATCATTGTCATCTTCTTCCTTATCTTTTAGCTTTTTTTTTGAAACCTGTTGACCTCCTATACTAGGAAAATCTGTATCTTTAAAAACAAATTTTTTAGAATTTTGACTTTTGTAAAACCTTAGAAGTTCCAAATGTATTTGATGTAAAATAAATCTGTTCCAATTCTGAAAAAATAAAAATTCATCTTGTTATTCAATTTTTTTTAGAGTAATAGATTTATGTGAGATATTATTTAATTAGAAAAATGTCAGTTTTAATGACTGACTTAAAATGTATTTAATATACACAAAAAAGTCAACGCATAAATTATGAAAAAAAAATTAGTAGATAAATTTATGTAGGAAAATATTTAATAATTATTTTTCATATGTGATAGTACATATTAATCAATTTATTTTGAGGAAAAAATATATCATATATCATATGTTGATATTCAGTTGTATTGATTAATCGAATACATTGATTACATAATATAATTGTACCATCAATTTCAATTATTGTCAACAAGAGTCTATTTAGAAGTTTATAATGAGGATGGGCACATTGTTTTTTTTTACAGATAAGATAAAATTGATGTTATGCTAATAACTTTTTTGTTGAGATTATTGTATAAAAATGTTTAAAAAAAGAAGCAAAAAAAAAAAAAACACAGAACTCTGACAAAAAAATTTATATATATATATTACATTTATACATTACTTGAATTAAAATACTGATGTTTATTTTATTTTTCAATTCGGAATTGTTATGATCAGGTAAAATAAGCCCTAATGCTGAAGCATCATGAGCATTCCGAAGAGCTCTTAAAAAGTTACCAGAATGACAAGGAATTCCTTTAGACATATGCATCATATAAAATAGAAAGGATAATTCACAACTTAGACAAAATTCTTCTTGACAAATATGTGACATTAATATTTTCCTAAGTGGATCCAAGTAATATAAAACCTTCATATTAAAATAAAAAATGTTATCAAAGTATCAACTTAAAAAATAGATAACAAATACATACTTGAAGCATGGCATTACAATATGAGTTAGGAACATTAGACTCTAAACCACTAAAACCAGTTTTGTTATATTGCTCATAATCAAAATCTTCACTTTTAAATTTTAACTCTATTTTTCTATATCTCCTAGGTATTGCTATAAATATTGATGAGTCTGGTTCTTCCCCTTCCCCTTGATTGTTACTATAATTATTATTTTTTGATATATTTTCAAATTTAGAATTATAATAAACTACCTGTAATTATCAGAAAATATTTTAAATATCTCTATTTTAGTCAATTTAATTAAATAAAAATTTGTTAAAACTGATTGATATACATTAAGACAACATTTATTTTTAAAACTCAAAACTATTTTACTTCAATCCTAAATTTATTTTCAATGTATGAATAATTAAAAAACTTGATAGGAAGTGAAAAGTAAATATATCTCATAGTGATTATAATCACTATCATATAATGCACTTCAATGCAAATCTATAGTGTATAATTTTTAGAAGGCATTATAAGAATTTTCTAAAAAGCAACATTTACTCCTATTTTTTAAATTATATATTGATTAAAAGTTTTATGATATATAACACAAAAATGTTATAATAAGTATAACATAAAAATAAATACAAATTATAGTAACTAAATATAGTAGTAATAATCATTTTGATCTTTTTTAGCTTATATCTAATCAGTGAATTATTTTACTATCTACACTTGAGGTTTTGTTTAAAGCAATCAATTTGTTTTAATGTAATAATAATAAAATATAAATACTTGATTTCTTTTTCGGTTATTTGGATTGGGTGCATAACCAACAGTCCCTTTCATTTTCATAGTTGCTAAAATTTCACTATCAATTGGTGGAGTTTTTCTAAAAATATATAAAAATTCTACATTATATTATACATTTTTATCTAGCACAAAATCACATTATTATTACTTTTATTAGACTATTAATATTTTTGAAAAATTTTCTATCAATAATAAATATAAAACAAAATAAAATAATTATATATAAATTTTATATTTATTAAATTAAATAATCAGTCATAATATATCATGAATAAATGATCAGATTTACATCTTTCTATTCCTGAACTTAACATGCTACAGAGTGTGGTGGCCCTCTTTCACATTTTAGGGTAATAAAGATGGTTATTGGCTAAGCCAATGATAGATGGGACGAGTATTACGGACGACTTGCACCTGAGACCAGACACCACTAATGAGAAAATCATAAGTAAAATCTCTTTAGCACCTGGGGATCGAACCCGGGACCCTGTGCGTCAAAACATATGTTACTACCCACTAGGTAAGGCCGACCCCTTCATTATATATTGTTAATAATAATAAACTGATGCAATTAAACCCTTATAAAACAGTTTAATAGTAAAAATGCTGACATGCTCTTACCTATATTTAAGTGTAAAATTTGGGAATACATTCATTTTTTTATTAACTTGTAATTTAATAAGAAAAAAACTTTGATTTCATAAATTAGAACTATGGGTTTAAAAAAGTATTATATTTAACATGCAGATAATTTATTTTATATAAAATGTTAAAAACTTCTATTATAAGTATTTTTTTAAGCTGGTATGTGAAAATTTCACAAATTTTTAGAGAATTCATAAGGGGTTTAAGTCAGAGAGGAACAGCCTTTCTAATTATGCCAATGAATAAAGGTTTAGATTTAAGAATTTAAGACCACAAGGTTGGGGCCCATTGTATAAATTTTCCGACCAACATTTTACTCTTAAATCTGCCTTTGTCAGTCTTGAACGAGTTGGCTTCAATGCTCAGATACTACTTCCCAATTACTTTTTTATAATATATACAATTTTAGACATAGAGAAATATTTACAATTTTGAAGAAAAATATAATTTTTACCAACAAATAAATATTATTCTACTTAATGTTTTGTTCAAAAAAATGGTTTTCTCCTTCTGAGTTTAATTTTTAGGCCTGTTAGACTAAAATATTAATATTATGTGTTAATCATACAACTAGTAAGCCTCAAATTCACTTTTCTAATTTTTCGTTAACTTCTCCACTACTTGAATGTCATATTTTCAAAGAAATCATGAAAAATAGGTTAAAATAATAGGGTTTATGTAAACAATTGAGGTAATTGTTAATTTATTTTTTATCTTAGAATATTTAGCAGATTTTAATTTAAATTGAAAAATTCTGGTCTTTATTTGTGCTTCTATCATATTAATTATATTATATTAAGCTTATATTGTCATATAAGAAAGGCTTTTTTATCTTGAATATTAACTTTTAAAAATTTCTGAAACAATTAATTTAATTAGTAATACTAAAAAAAAGACTTTTTTATTAACTGATATTTTAGGTTTGAAAATTTCTATGATAAATCAAAAATTATATTTAATTTGTATAACTAAAATATAAAAATGTTTAAAATTAAATTTCTAGATCATGATAAATTTTTTTGCTTCATACTTCTAAGATATTAGTAAAATTATATAAATTATAATTATTATAATTTTAAAAAGTAAATTTAATAATTTTAGGCTGAACTCTAAAAACATAAATTATACTAAACAATAGAATTTTGATTTTAATTTATTTTTAATTTTATATTATACCTATATATATTAGTACGAAATTTTGCAGGCAAATCTGATGCTAATGGGCCATCACATAAAGGTAATGGTATAGTAGAATAAACTGCCAATTCGTCTGTAACTCTTATAGGACCACAAGGAGGTGGTTCTAGTTCTTGAGCAAATATTGTGTCTCTGGCTAAAGTATTGAATCTACTTGATGTAGTTGTAAATAGATGTAATGTGCTAACATTATCTCCAATTACTATGGCCTGACTTGATGGAGATACATCCATTGAAAGGGCCATTGCACCCTCTTCTACACCACTCATCTAAATAAAAAACATATGAACTATATTATAAAAATTATGCATGGATAAATAAATAATATAACAGATAGATTGATTAGGTGAGCTACTATTTGTGTTAAAGAGGACGAGAATACCAATACAGCTTAGCACAACAGAATCAATATACCTATAGACCAAGGCACAATGTGTTTCAAACCAAACTATACAGGCATGTTGAATGAGTGTTTAAAAAAAAAATTGTTTAACCTGATACAAATTTATATCTTGCTCAGATAATGCCACAGTATCAACAATTTGACATTGACCAACAGCAGATACTACAGCAATTCGTGATGAATAAGATTCCATAAATCTGAGTAAAAACGGTTCAATAATCATAGAAATAGATGAAACAGATCTCATCATTCTTAAATCATGAACAACTAAAAATTGATCGAGATTCATTGATCCATGTCTAAATTGTAAAAATATTTTTGTAATAATTTTTAAATAATAAATAAATAAAATAATTTCTGCATTTACGTATTAGAAAAACCACAACTGACAAGTAGATTGTCGTGAACATCAAAATCTGACAAACTGCCTGTGTGAGCTTCAACAGAATATATAACTTTTGAAATATTTCTAGGGTCTCGAAGTTTAATCATTCCAGTAGGATCTCCACAACAAACAGTTCTGTTAGCATTTTGACGTAAGATAGCACATCCATTTTCACCAACATTAATAATATTTACTTCTTTGTACAAATTAAGATTAAATTCAATTAATTTATCTTGATGACCACCCATTAATATTGTATCTTGAGAACGAGCTAACTGAGTAATACATTGCATTTCATTTAAATTTTCCGAACTATATTAATATATTCATACATAAAAATGTCATAAAAAATATTGATTTTGATTACATTATTTTTAATTATAAAGATATTTCTTTTTACTTATGAGTAAATAATGGTAGTCCTCTGCGCATTTGACACCGAAGTGTTGTTGGAGTAAGTACTAATAAACTAGAATCTGTAGTTAATAAAGATCGAATTTCTTCTGTTGTATGCACCCTAAACATTGTATACTTTTGCATATCTGCACTATAATAAGAAGTAACATAACCCTATAAAATATATTAAATTTAACAAACATAATTCTTCATATAGGAATAAAATTTTAATTCTACTATTTCTTACAAGTTGATTACCAATCCAAAGTAAATTTTCATAAGTGTCAAAACAAGTAGTAGTGATTCCATGTTGACTACAATTATCAGTAAGAATTGTTTGAGTTTCTTCATACTCAGATCGTAAAATTTCACCATTTAATTGATCCGAGTAAAAAGCACTATCTATTGCTTCTGAATACTCTTCATCTACATAATTTCCATACACTAAAAAATTACTCAAGTAATAAAATTATATTATAGTAATCAATTAATTTAATTTATCAATAATTCAACCTTAAAAAAAGCCTTTAAAAAAATCTGACCAGAATATTTAAGGTTTATGGATTTAGAATAAAGATGCAAAATTTGAATAAGCAATTGTAGTAAATTTACTAGATAAAGATTACATTAACAACAATTTTTGCAATTAAACTTAAACTCTTATGAGACTTATAAGTCTCATTATTACTAAATAAAGGCAAAGAATACATTTTTTTTTTCGAAGTATGACTGTTTCTGAACTAATCATAAAAAAATTATTCTTCATTTTTATGAACCTGTAATATAACTTGGTACATACATTTTTTGATTATGTTATATTTATAACTCTTAATGCTTACTAATAAATAATAAATAAATTACAATTATTAATAGCTGATATATACCCAATAGACCTTAAACATATAATAAAAGTATATTTAATGTATATTAGCTTCGATATGAAGCTGAGAAGGTATTAATTTTACCATGATGTGTGTGTTTTTTTTTTTATGTCTGTTGCCACTTTTTTTCAGCCCTCACTAGACTGATTTTGATGAGCAATATGTCAAAAGATCACAAATCGTATCTAGTTGAAGACATTACCCTTAAAAATTGAAAAAATTTCCCTCGTTCCCCGTAAGGGGGAAACGTCCAAAAAAATTACAAATTTAAAAATAGCTAATTTTCGAAATTTTTTCAATTATTTTTACTAAAAACTGCCGTAACTTTTTCAAAAATGACTAAGTCCATATAATTTTTTTTATAGATTCATGAGATATTTACCTATCATTTGATATATTTTTCTTATGAATCTGACCATTTACCTTTCCACAGGGGGGGAATTGAAAATAACTTTTTGCAAAATGTATGGATCAATACAATTTTTTTATGAGAAATAATATTTATATACCTCTTTCATCTTAAAATAGCATAACTTTTTCAAAAATGAACATATCAATATAATTTTTTTTTATAGATGCATGATATCATTACCATTTGGTATATTTTTTTTGTAAATCTGACACTTAACCAGCCCACAGGGGGGATTTAAAATTACAACTTTATCACAAATAATTAACTTTTTCAACTTGACTTTTAGCACTAAGTGTAATAGTTGTCGAGTTAAATACAAAAAAAAGCAAAAACTACCCTCAAGGAATAAAAACTTCCAAATTTTATCTACATTACTTTTTAATAGTATTGAACCAATCTAGAAGGTACTGTGTAAAAAATATTAAAATAAAATTTCTTCTTATATGATTAAGGACCACCCTAATACTTATAACATAAACTGGTTTTTTAGCTTCGATGCGAAGCTGAGAAGGTATTGGTTTTACTATGATGTGTTTTTTTTTTTGTGTCTGTTACCACTTTATCTCAGCTCTCATCGAACGGATTTCTTTCAACGATACGTCAAAAGATCACAAATCGTATCTAGTCAATGACATTACCCTCAAAAATTGAAAAAATTTTCCTCATTCCCCGTAATTGGGGGAAACCTACAAAAAATTACAATTTTTAAAATTGGTAAATTTTGAATTTTTTTTCTCTTAAAACTACCATAACTTTTTATGGTTGGGTTTATGGTATACATTTTTTTTACTAAAACCTGCCTTAACTTTTTCAAATATGAACATATCAATATAATTTTTTTTATAGATGCTTGATGTCTTTACCTATCATTTGGTATATTTTTTTTGTAAATCTGACACTTAACCAGCCCACAGAGGGGGATTTAAAATGACAACTTTATCACAAATAATTAACTTTTTCAACTTGACTTTTGAAAATGTTCCAGTAAGTCTGACACTTTTATATATATCTTAAATTAAAGCTAATGTAATGTACATTATTATGGAAAAAAAACTCCAGATAGCTTTTAGAAAGTAGAATAGTGGAGAGATTCATCCCTCCAATACCTTTGACGCTAACATGATTTTATGTCCAACTAGATAGAATAGAGTCTGGATACTTTGATTATTTTTTTATTACTTGAAAAGGATATTTGTAATAGAAAAATTAATGGTGATATACAAAAAGTCGAATGGTTGAAAACCTAGTGGATATATTTTTCAAAAGACAAACCTTATGAATATTATGTTATAAATATTCTAATAATGATGAGTTTTTATTGTGTTAATTATTCAAAACAAGTAATAGCTAAACCAAGAGAATTGGGACTACTTTATCCTAATAAACAAGTAATTAGAAATGAAAAATAAAATGATTTCATGTAATTTGTTGCAATAAATTGTAATAATACATCATGCATTCTATGAAAATCTTAAAAGAAACCTTTTTTTTATTTTTAAAATATTTTAAATGTTAATAATATACTGTACATACTTGGTAATTTAAAATATGTGATACTGGATTTGTAAAAAAATATCAAAAGGCTGAATTTTTTTTATTAAGATAATATTATAAGAAAATTTTACTCAAGTTTGTTAAGTATTTTTTAATAATGTTATTTAACTACTACAGATTTTGATTTGAAATGTAATATTATCTCTAAGTTTGTTATTTTAATAAAAGTTTTAATTTTAATAAAATTGGCATAATTTAAAATTGTTTTTATTTCAAAATCTGACATAAAACATTTTTTTATTAAAACATGATATTGCATGAGAGCAAAAGTGGCCTAATCAACAAAAATTTGATAAATTTTATATTATTTGTCTTAAGAAAGCTCTTAATTTGATGTTAAGATGTATTAATATTAAATAATAACCAAAAAGTAAATTAATTCATTTTTTAAAACTAATTTTTTTGAAACAATTTTAAAAGACTTTAATAAGATGTATTACACGCATTAACCATTTAATACAACATTGGCCACTGTTGTACTCAACCCTTCAATTATAAATTGAATGCATAACAGGTTTAGTGATACAGCACTAAGTTTCAATTAGTTCATTATTAGACTATTTAGTGCTATAGGATATGGACTCGGACTTAATGAATCATTGTGAGCATAGTTGTATATTACAATATCTATTAATTTTTATATGAAAAATGTTTAATTAAACAGAAATCTTTAAGATATTAGCTTTGATAGGCCCGTATTAACTGAACATAAAAATATTGAAAAAAATTAAATTTGTAATTGCACTATCTAGTAACAGTTCATCAAGTTTTTACAGAAATTATATTTTTTATTTTCATTAATTTCTAATAAGAATAATGCATGTGTTAATAAATAATATTTAATAATTAGATGAATTTTTTTTATAGTTACAAAATACTTTTCAAGCTATATTCATTTAAAAATAATAATTATTATTGATAATAAATTTATTAAAAGAAAAAATTCTACATTATTTATATGATGGCTAATCAAAAGTTTGCCTCATTCTAGTAATATATGAAATCACACTAACCTCTAAGCATATATCACTTTTCAAATTAAATATATTTATACCTAGTGGTCATACTAGAGTGATTCATTAAATAAATACTCATTTAATTGGTTACAAAAATTGTAATTCATTTTTTAAGAGGATATAATTGTCGCACAATTTCTTCTAAATTTTCTAATTGCATTTAAACATTTTCTCATATTTCTTTTCTATTAATGATATTAATAATTATAGTAAGAGACCACTTAAGTAAAACATATAATTGAAAATATTTAGGATTTTGATCTTATATTATACATAAAAATAATTAATAATAATGTATTAAATAACTGTAAAAATAATACATATTAATCAATTGTTTATTTAAACCTTTATCAATTAAACCATTCAACTGTATCAAAAATATTATTCAAATAGAATACTTACAAATCATATTTGATGAATTATATGAACTTATAACAGGCCTTGTAAAATCCATTGTACAAAAACTATACTTATAAATATTAATTATTTTTTAACACAAAAACACCAAGGTAAACTAAATTTTTTTTTTTTTTTAATTGTAATTCTATACGAATATTAGAGTAACTTACTATTAGTAATACTATTTCTCTACATTATATTTCATCTTATTAAAAATCAAGAAAAAATTAAAATTCATAATACTTCACCTATATTCAACATAGTTCCATAAAATAATAATAAAAATATTCAATTAATAAATAACTTGAATAGAGTATATAGTATTATTGTAAATGCAATTATTTAAAAATTATAGTTAATATTCACAACTTATTTTTTGTTATCAGATAATATTTGTAGGAATCACAATATTATTGTATTTTATCTACATTATGTATCTTATATACAAAATACAGCAGAGAGCGCTAATCTTTACAATACGGTTTTTTAAATATTTATAATTTATTGTATTTAGGACGCAATATTATTATTGAATTAGAAATTGGTTTAAACAATGAAACTATTTTAACACTTTTATTACACGTGAGCCTTATAACTTCAACTATAGTAAAACTTTACATTTATGTCACTTTATGTCATAATATTTTCAAAAATAAAAGTAAACAATAAACACTATAAATATTTAATTGGTCCATAAACATTAAATTAAAATTCAATTGTTTAAAATGACTATATGTTATGTGATAACAAAAAATGTTTATAAAATTTAGTAAAGAGCAGACAATTCCCATTTAATTACATTTTTCTATGTTTTAAGATGTTATAACTAATTTTTAGTCGGTAGTTTCATAATAATTGCTATAAATATATTTTTGAAAAATCCTTCTATAATTAATAAACAAAAAATTGAGAATCTTTTTTTAATTTTAAATTGGTGTGCAAGTATTTATTTCTCTCCCTTTTCTCATTATTGTATACATTACCAAATAATCACTTTAGTCCAAATAATAATAAAAATAATTTTCATTTAGGGACGTTGTGATGTTTGCCTAACCCAACCAAACCCTGCGGATAGGGTATAAGAATACTTCCACGGCCCCTCTGCCGGTCATAAGAGGCGACTAATGAAGTTTCGTCAGGTTGGGTTAAAGTTTAACCCAACTGGAGTAGTTTTGTAAAAAAGTATAAGAAGTCTTGAACAAAACTTAGGTGGATTGTCCCATCTCGGATGTACACGGGGACAACAGGTGAGAAGAAATAAAGTAGTTAAAAACGGAAAAGGTATAAAGAATAAAGTATTTGATACCAGCTAGATAACTTGTGCGGTAGCTGTTTCACCAGTTATGTGTAAAGACATACCCAACGCTTGTAGTATCAAAGGTGTAGGAACATCAACACTCAATGCTAGACTAGACTCGTTTATTAGGGAGAAAGATAGATATAAAATAAATTTAAGTACGTGGAATGTTGGAACATAAACTGCTGGAAGTAGAGAATTAGTAGGAGTATTAAAGAGAAGAAAAGTTAACATTTTTTGTATGTAATGAGAGGAAAGGATATGAAAGAGTACATGGAGGGTATGGTTTTAGTAGGAAGAATGAGGCTAAAGAAACAATCCTGGACTTCGCATTATCATATGATCTTGCTGTGGTTAATATTTATTTAAGAAAAAGGGAAGAACATTATATAACTTATAAGAGTAGTAGTAAGAGATCATAGATTGAATATTTTATGTAGAAAAGAAAGAGCGTAAAATGAGTAAAATATTGTAAAGTTATACTAGGCGATAGTGTAACTTCACAACATAGACTCATCGTAATGGAGCCTTGGTGTAGTGGGAAGAGAATATACAAAAACAATAAGAACACAGGAGAAAAATGGAGGATCTAGTGATTAAAATTGAAAGGGGAAAATGAAAAAGAGTTTTTAAAGGCAGTAAAAAAGAGGACGGTGTAGAAAATCGAGGATATGGTGGTGTAGCATCAATAAAAAATAAATAAAGCAGTAGAACCAGATGAAATGCCATTAGAAATATGGAAAATATTAAGCGGTGTTGGAATAAGGTGGTTGAAAGATCTTTTTAATAAAATCCTATTAGAGTGCAAAAAAAATGGAGGGTAGTATTGTGGTCCCCATATTTAAAGGGAAAAGAGAGTATGGAAATTATAAAACCATAAAGTTTATGAGTCATAGCGTGAAGATTTAGAAGAAGTAATAGACAAAAAAATAAGAGGAGAAACATCAGTAACTAAGAACTTTGCTTTACTTATTTCTGGAAAGTCAACAATGAAGCCATTATTTTGTGTGGGATAACTAATAGAAAAGAATAGGGAAAAGAAGAAAAAGCTGTCTATGGTATTCATAGATTTGGAAAAAGTGTATTATAGTGTACCAAGAGAGGTTTTAAAGTGGGCATTAATGAGAACAGGAGTTCCGAAAAGGTACATTAATATAATAGAAGATATGTATGATGGCACTTGTATCCGGATAAAAAGTGAAGGACAAGTAATAGAAAGTTTTAATGTAAAAGTAAGAAGATTCTTCTTTAAGCCCTAACTTATTTTCTATTGTAATGAGTGAAATTACTATGTAGATGTAACATACATGACAGTAGAACAAAGATGAGAATGCTTAGATGGATGAGTGATATAACTAAAGAAGATAGGATAAGAAACGAACGAGGAGAGATGAATCAGAAGCTGTGAGAACAGTTATGAAAATGAATGTTGAAGGTAGAAGACCAAAAAGGAGATGGAGGGTTGTTATTGAATGCAATATGAGGGCGGATGATGTGGGAGATCGTGTCAAGTGAAAGTTTAGGATAAGGGTGGCCGACCCTAAGTAATTGGAATTATGGCGATTAAAACGAAGAGAACGATGTGATATTTTCTTAATTTTGAATCTTATTGTAACCGAAAGACGGCCCTTAATATCTTCTTATATTCTGAATTTATTGCCGCTTAGGCAGCGACATAAGTTTATAAATTTAGCCCCTATGTTAAAACGTAAAAGGCCCAATTTTAATTCAGTTGTAACAGGATCAATGATAGAATTAGAGCCTTTATATATATTTTTTTCTTAAATTATCAACTGAATTTGTGGGATCCCTAGAAGCTTGTTGTCGCACTTCGACCATCCCTTACCGCCGGTTCTGGCTTATAAAAAACAAAAAAAAATTAAGTTAGGGAGTTCGTTAATTCTAAATTTTATTTATAGCTCATTTAAGCGAAGGCACACAGAAGAATTGGACACCTAGGTATGTTAGAAGTGGTATTTTGGGGTCAACCAAAAATTTAGAAAATTATACATTTTTATAAAATATAGGTCACATTATAAACACAGACTCCAAATTTAATTAGACTACTATTAAATGCCCTTTTTTATTACTCCTAATTTTTTTGTACGGTGCTTCAAAACCACGAAAAAAGTTCTGGGTGTATGTCCTACTTTCACAGTCCTACAAATACTTAAAGTGTAGACTCAATACACTTGTTCAATCAATATTTGGGTCTATTTTTTTGATACAATCAAAATAATGGTTATAATTTAATACAAATAAAAAATAAATAAATAGAAAATAACACATTTTTACTTTTAAGTAAAAAAAATTTATAAAACGTCAAACGGTCAAGTTAATTTTGAGGATAATCCACATCTATACAATGTGAGGAAGTTTTTAGCAGTTGTAACTAAATAAATACAAGTTTTTAATAATCATAAAATGTTTTGTTTATGGCAGCTGCTTACATTAGGGAATACAATGTTATATTTATTTTTCTTGACTTATTGCACATTTCATAAGTTTGATATGATATAATTTCAAACATTTTCCAAACATTGTAAGTCAATCGTAAATATGCATGAAATATCTTGAAAAGTTATTTTATTATAATAAATTTATTTCACATCATTTTTACTTCTAAAAATCATAACAATATCAGTTGAGATTGTAAAAATTGACAATAACATAGACACAAGTTTAATACATTTTTCAGAAGGCTAAATGTATTTTTCTCTCACCCTTAATATTCTTATAAAACACTAGACATAATTTTCTAAATTTTAGTAATTAAGTCCCTCCTAGTTGTGCTTATACATAAGAAACTATTTCAATATTAACATTAAATAAAACAAAACTTAATTCTATTACTTTTTAAAAAAAATATTTATTTAATTAATAATATTAAGAATTAAAAGACAAAAATAAAAAATAACACAGTATTTAGATTATATAGTACATCATATACTTAAACCATTTCATAATACAATATCAATTATGAGATTTAAAAAAAAACCTAGTAACAACCAATATTAGCTAAATAACTGTTCTGTGGCACGTTCTAAATCCCAATTGTATGTAGACAATGCACCACGGGCTTGATCACATTCAATTCCCATATCAATTAAACGTTGAATTTTTGAATCATAATCAGCATTCTTATTAGGTCCTAAATTATAAAGGAAACAAAATTACAATATTTTAATTTAAACAAATATTAACTGTTAAAATTGAATTATATATAATAATCATGTTAGTAATTTACTTAAATCATTGTTAAGGTATACTGTTAAATATAATCATTTTAAGGTTTCATAATCATTTTGATTTTAAGTTAGGATTAATGTTTTTCAAGATAAAAAGTAACATTGTTAGTATTCTTGTTACACTCTTGATGAATTTTTTTTTACTTTGATATGAAGCTGAGAAAGTAATAATGTTACTATAATGTGTTTATTTTTTTTTTTATAAATTTTTCTCAACAATATGTTAATTAAAAGATCACAAATTGTATCTAGTTGAAAACATTAAGCACTAAATTGAGAAAATTTCCCTCATTCCTCATAAATGGAAGAAATCTCCAAAAAAATGAAAAATAAAAAAGGTTGATGTGGGAGATCGTGTCAAGATGATGTTTAGAATAAGGGAGGCCAACTACAAGTAGTTGAAATTAAGGTAAGGAATAAGAAAAAGAATAATTAAAAATTACCAAAAAGTTTTAAAGGTTTTTTATCTTTGTAACTTTCAGTGGTACCTATTTTTTGTCATTAAATTTTTGCCTCTTCCTATATAAAAAATAGTTCCGGTACCCCTACATAAATTAGTGATTTATATTCAGAATTATTTGTTATATATCTATGCAAAAAAACATATATGTTCAAAATAAAAAATAGCAAAGTTAGAAGGCTATCTGCAATAAACAAAAGATTTTTAAGAGTCTAAGTAACAGAAATATTCTTTAAAACATATTTATAAAACTAACTTTTAATAGTAAACTATACAATAATATAAAAACTAATCAAAAGTAGATGGTGTTATAAAAAAATTTATATTTAACTGTTTAAAAACACACATTCTGTAAATAGCTTTACAACTAAAATTGATATTTTGAAATGATTTTTTAAATACTCATACTCAATCCATTCATTGAAATCAATTAAAATTATACTTTAAAAAAATGATTTATGTGTAATTACCTCCAGCATAAACATTAGTCCAATGACTTGCAGTTTTTGCAAATATTTCTGGATATTCTTTATATTGTTTGGCAACTACAGCATCTTGTGGATCATCTGGTTCAGCAGCAGCCATAAGGGCTTGTAAAGAAAGTAACACAGTACGCAAGGTCATTGCTGCAGCCCTTAAACAAAAAGCTCTGATAAATTTAAAATATCTATTTTAATTATTATCAAAGTTATTAATTTTAGAAGCACTAAAATAAAAATAAGTGCAGTCGTTATTCAGCGAAGAGGAATTAAAGTATTTTTTAAATTAGTATTGATTAATATCTGACAGTAATTAAAACCACAGACTTAAAATTGTTTGATGCATGTTTGAAAAAGTAAAAAAGTTATATTTACCAAAAATGATTTATGACATAACAGGATTACTTATGGAGAACAAATAACTGGAAAGTTTTAATTTTTTATATCATATATTACATAACAAGCTTCAATTTGAAATATTTTAGAATGATACAAGTACTTCATTAAAAAACAAAAATTTACAAAATTGACAAATTTTACACAAAATTGCATGATATTTTGGCTGTAATGCTCAATATAACTCCTAAAAATTGGTATTTCAGATAGTATTTTTTTTTATCTTTAAGTAAATAGTATAAGCTATAATTTAATAGTTTTAAAGAAATAGTATTTTAAAACATTACCAAAATTGAAATGAAAAATATTTTATCAAAACAATTTTGAAACCTCCACAGTATCTTAGTTAATGATTTTATTTTCAAAAATATTAAGGCAAGTTTAATATCATCATCAGGAAAATATAATATAATTTTTGCAATAATTCATTCAGTTTTCTAAAAATTGTTGAAATATAAAATGAAAACTAAAAACATAAACATTGACTGTTTTTAAAACAATTGTTATTTTTATGAACATTTCCTTTTATTATAGAAATTGAAGGGAATTTTTTTAAGATTAAGGCACTGATATCTTCAATGAGATACTTTTTATGATCATTTGACAAATTGTTGAGCAAAATTGATTCAATAGGTGTAATGTTATTAGTATACTAGCACAAAAAAAAAACAACGCAGATTAAAATAAAGCTTTTCATTTATATACTGAAGCTTATAAATAAATCATTAACATGGTAAAAAATCGCAATATTAATTACTTTTATACATACATATATATATATATATATATATATATATATTTTAATTTGTATTTAATCTGTTTAATGTAATATATACAGTATTTTAAACTTCAAAATTGTGTTTATAAAAAGAACTATCATATGATTATATTTGAAATGGCAGTAATAAAAATTTTAAATGATAATAACCGTTACTGAGTTTTCATAGCAAGCATGCTATAATAAATAACCTGATATTAAAAAAAAAAAATTTAATCAGTATTGTGAGTCCTACAAGATATTTTTTATGATCAGTGCCCAAATTAAATAATTCAGTTCAAAGCTCTGAAATAAAATAACATCTGATATTTGTAGCAAGCAATATGTATATAAATCAGATTAAAAAAATAAAATACTGACTATATTCAAAATAAAAAAATTCTTTTATAAAAAACATTTAATTTAAACTTTAAAAAAATATTTTCAAAACAGATAGTTTCTTCAATTTTTTTAATGCAACAAATAACTAACTAAAATAATGGAAATATAGCTCTATTAGAATATATATATATATAGGAGTATACAAATTTTAGAAGTTACTAATAAAGTAAAAAAAAATATTTATATGTAATTAACTATTTAAACACATTAATCACACCAAATAACTTTATTTTTTTTGTTTAGAAATATCTTCACTATTTTTCTATTATAAAGAATATATTATTAAGGATTTTTAATAAGGTATTAAAATTTGTATAGATTATGCTTTTACTATAAGAAATGATCTTAAATCAGAATAATATTATGTTTGGTTTGTTATTGTATGAATGAACTTATCTCTTTTCCTTGGAAGAGGGAATCAGACCTTTTAAAGCTAACAAAGTTTTTTTTAAATAGTGTATATTTTAATAAATAGATAAATAATTCTTACCATTGATCTTTCAAAATATCTAAACAAATAGCTCCAGTGACAGATGAAATATTTGGATGCCATATTTTAGTCATGAAGCGTACCTATAAATTAATGATATTATAACTTTCTTTGTATAAAACAATAAACACAATTGCTCACTTTTGGAGGATTAAAAGGATATGTTTCTGGAACTTTGATTTCTAAAAAAAATATACCTCCTTCATACGGCGTATCAGGAGGCCCTGCTATTTCACCTTTTAATTCTGTATAACTATCTCCAACCAAATCCACTTTTATAGAACATTTCGCAAGCTAAACAACAAAGTAATACATTTTCATAATCAAATTAACAAAAAATAATGTAAATATTGTAATAATTTAATAACTTTTATAAACAGAGGCTAATGATTTAGTAATCAAGTTGTATTTATAAAAAAAAATTGAATACAATATCTTACAAAAAATTTTGATGGGTCAGCAATACTTTATGATTGGTACTTATTAAGTTACAAGCATAAATATTCACTCTGTGTATTAAATAATATTACATATTTAAAAGTGATTACTAAAAACAACACTAGACTCTTTATCTTTTAATAACAACTCAAATTATTTTACATCCAATTACCTCCTCGCTTTTGATAACTTCTTTAAATTCTCTTTTTATCCTTTGAGTTGCAATGTTGTTCATCTTATTTAGAAGAAATTAAGTGTTTTACATACAATACAAAAAATAAATAAGTGTAATAGATACAGTAGACTATATAAATTACAAGTCACTGTAGTGTGCGAAGAAATAAAGAATATTAACAGGGAATATATTGTTACTGCGTATTGAATAAGGTTTATAATGAATTATAATATAAAATAATAATTAAATATCTTATTTTAATCAAAGCTTTCTGTACAAGACGTAAGATAGAACAAAGATTAGTGAAGAAAAATTCTGGCAGTTGGATTACAGTGAACTTCAGATGCTCAACCTGTAGAAAGTTGGTTAAATTTTCTCTCAGATCTGATAACAGTGAACATGGCTTACTTTAATCAAACATTTATTAATTTGCGTCACTTACTAGATTTTTAAACTGTATATTTTATCTATAATAAAACTAGATTTAGGACCATGGTTGTTGAATAACACGGAAACCATGTTGGTCAGATACATGGTATTTCAACTATATGGTATTTTATTATATTATATATACAAACATTTATATATATATATATATTTATTAATGTAAGTGTATATGTATTTAACCTAAATGTTAAATGTTAGTTCTTACCATTCGGTACTCGATAGCATGTAACACTGTTATATGAATGGGTACTGAGATTAAAAAACTAACTGCATTAACAGTTACAATTATTTTGTGTTTTAATATTATCATAATTTTTTTGTATTATGGCTACAAAAACATATTATTAGAATATTTATACTGTAAAAATTGTTTTTAAAAATATATATTATATTTGTTAATATTATGGAATTTAATTTAGGAGATAATCCAGTTACTTCACATTCATGGAATGCTAATAGAACTCGTAAGACTCATATTTTTGTAATTACTTGTGCTATCATTTGCATATTAAATTTGTGTTCTTTTTTTTTAGAAATAGCTGTGATTCCTAATAGTAATGAGGTTAATATTTATAAATATGAATCTAATATTAGTGATTGGGCAATTTTGGATAATCTTGATCAGCATGGACTTCTTATAACTGGGATTGATTGGGCTCCTAATACAAATCGTATTGTAACATGTTCTGCTGTAAGTAAATACTAAATATTATTTAATATGAATTTAAATTGTTTTTCATGTAAATAAATATGTGTAAAAATGTATGATTTATCATTTATTTATGTAATAGGATCGAAATGCATATGTATGGACTATTGATGACAAAGGTAAATGGAAGCCCACGCTTGTACTTTTGAGAATTAGCAGAGCTGCAACCTGTGTTAAATGGTCTCCTAATGGTATGGTTGTATTATATACTTTTCATATATGTATATCTTTTTAAAAAATCAATTTATTAATTATGTATTTATGAGGTATATTGATTAATCAATAACATTAATTATAACACACTAGTATATTTTAATATATCATAATTGATAAAATATTTTTTGTGACATTACTGTTATCATAGTTTAATGCAAATAACTTTATTACATTGATGTAATGAACTGATTTTTTTTTAAAGACGGTTATTGACATATAGGTAGTGATATTAATTGTTATGGTTATTTACAATAAATTTGTATAATTTCTTATTGTTTGTATTAGATTATTTTTTTTTATTTAATGGGACAAGCTATTATTGAATTAGTGGTAAAATAAGGTATTAAATCTTCTTCTATAACCACTTGAACAATATGTTAAAGTAAAAATTACTTTTTATCAATTGGTTATAATTTCACAAAGTTTAAATCTTCATTCTTAATTTAACAACACATTTTGTTTAGTTTTAAAAATGTTATATTAATACTCAATGAAAATTTCATTGTTAAAAGTAGATGCTTAAAAAAAATGATAAGATATTTTTTCAAAAAATGTAGTATTTTCATACTTGAATAATTACATTTTTAGGAATAGAATTACATAGCCAACCACATAGTAATTTACACAAATAGAAAGATGTTTAATTTGTTGGAAAACCTAAATTTTATATTAAAAACATATGCTTATATAAGTACAGTCAGGAGTCCATTCATTACTTAGGGATCTTGATGAAAACCAAGAATCAATAGCTACCCGAAATCTACCAAAATATTGTCCATATCACCTTAATTAAGTTTGAATTACCTAAAAGAAAAACAAGAGTAATAATATTATACCTGAGATACTAGTAATAGATTATTAAACAAAGTTAAACTATTGTTTTATGTCAATAATTGACTAAAGTTATATTTTAAATACTCAGTAAATATAAGTTATATGTAATATACAATACGTCTGACCTGAATCCTAGTACAGTTAGTTAATATGTATATTTAACATACATCACCATCTGCCTCTATATCAATTAATACAATGGGTCAAAAAAATCTTCGTACACCGATGTCATATTTTTTTAACAACATAAAATAGCAACTCAAAAGTTAAATAACTTCATATTTATAACACACATTTATTCAAAACACATGTTAATATTTGTTTAAAAAAAAAATGAAGCATATATATTAATTAGTTTACTTTATACATATATATATAAACAATTTTAGGAAAATGACAGTAAAAAAATCTCCGTACATTTATAGATGTATATGAATTAAAGATAATAATAGGACTATAATTTTGGAAATACCAATTGCAGTTCGCAAATTAGTAATTAAACCAAGAGAACATGGTAATTTCTTAGAAATATTGCACAAACAATAAATAAATCACATTCGACTGTACAATTTATAATAAACCGATACAATGAAACTGGTTCTTTCGAAAATTGAAACCACAGTGGTCGTCCCCAAAAATTAAAATTACATCACAGGAGGACCGTTCTAAGAACAATTGTGACAGAACCAAAAATCAGTGCACCAAAACTTGCTGGTATGATTGATAATGACGATAATGTAAAAGTTGTACCTCAGACCATTCTTAATGTTATTAGAATCGCAGGATATAAAGGTTGTGTAGCTAGAAAAAAACCTTTTATCAGTAAATTAAATAAAAAGAAACGTTTAGATTTTGTAAAGGCACACATAAACAAGGTAAATGATTTTTGGAAATCTGTATTATTTAGTGATGAAAGCAAGTTTAATATTTTTGGTTTAAATAGACGAGTTATGGTGTGGAGAAAACCTAATAAACAAATGGATTGCAAAAATTTGTGCGCGACGGTAAAACATGGGTGTGGTAATTAATGTATTAGTTTGGGGCTGTATGAGCGCTGCAGGTGTTGGTAATTTGGTATTTATCGATGGTATAATGAATCAAAATGTTTAAATAAACATTTTGAGAAATAATTTACATGCAAGTTGTAAAAAACTAAATATTGGCAATTCTTTTATTTTTCAACATGATAACAACCCAATACATACCACGAAAAAAGTTAAAGAATGGTTGTTATACCGAGTACCAAAGCAACTTAACACACCTCCGCAATCACCAGACATGAATCCTATAGAACATTTATGGGATGAAATAGGTAGACATCTAAAAAATTATCAAACTCTAAACAAAGAACAATTGAAAACAGGAATTCTTGAAGTATGGAACAGTATTGACTCAACTGTTACATCAAAATTAGTAGAATCCATGGAAAAACTTGGTATTGTTTATAAACTGGTTATCAAAACAACAAATGTGTGTTAAAATAAACCTCTAATTGCTTTATTTTAAATAAGTAATAATGCATATTTAATTATTAAAATTAAATTATATGTAATATATTTTAGAAAAAAAGTTTGCTGTTGGATCAGGAGCTCAGCTGATATCTGTATGTTATTTTGAAGTTGAAAATGATTGGTGGGTTTCAAAACATTATAAAAAACCTATTCGCTCAACAGTAACTGCTTTAGACTGGCATCCAAACAATATGGTTTTAGCCACTGGTACTGCAGATTTTCGAGTCAGATTGTTTAATGTACACATGAAAGAAGTTGACCAATGTCAAAAAGTAAAAACTGCTTGGGATTCTGATGATAGTTCAGTTCCTCATTTAATTGTAGAATTTACAAATTCTTCTAGAGGAGGTATTTATTTGATTTGCATAACATCAATCATATTAGAATTTTTTTATCTACATAAAATAATATTAGGCATGTCACATATTATTATTAATCATAGATTATCAATCTTTTTGTCAAGTTATTAAAAAAAAAAATTAGGGGTTATTAGTAGAATTTTATGTACTTAAAAAAAAAAATTTTTAGAAATGCTAATATTTTAAAATAATAAAGTAATCTAATAACCATGTCTAAAATTTGTGTGGGTGGTTAAAGTTGAGAGAAGCGTCTGGTGTGTTATATGACAAAAAAATTCCAAAGAAGCTGCAAGGTAAGTTTTATAAGACTGTAGTGAGACCAGTTAAGATGTATGGTTCAGAGTGTTGGATGTTTGACAAGAAAGTAGAGCAGAAAATAAGTGTAGCAGGCATGAGAATGCTTAGATGGATGAGTGGAATGACTAGGGAAGATAAGATAAGGAACGAACATATAAAAGGAAGTATAGGTGCAACTTCAATCTTAGATAAGATGAGATAAAATAGACTTAGATGGTTTGGCCATGTTATGAGGAGAGAGGAATCGGAAGCAGTAAGAAAAGTTATAGAAATAAATATTGAAGGAAGAAGAGGTAGAGGAATACCAAAAGAAAAATGGAGAGATGTAATTGAATGTGATATGAAAATGGCTGATGTGAACGTTGATGATGTGGGTCATTGTGTCAAGTGGAAGTTAAGGATAAGGGTGGCCAACACAATAGTTGGGATTAAGGCGATGAAACAGTAGATGTCTGAAATTTGTATATATTTTATGTTTATTAAAAAAAAAATTTTTTAACTATTTGAAAAATGCATACTTTATTAGCTTCAATGCGAAGCTGAGGAGGTATTCATTTTACTATGATGTGATTTTTTTTTTTAGTCTGTCACCCCATTTTTTCAGCTCTCACCGAACCAATTTCTTTCAACGATATGTCAAAAGATCAAATTTGTATCTAGTCAAAGTCATTACCTTTAAAAATTAAAAAAAAATTTCCCTCGTTCACCGTAAATGGGGGAAATCTCCAAAAAAATTGCAAATTTAAAAATCGATAATTTTCGAAATTTTTTCAGTTTTTTTGACTAAAAACTGCTATAACTGTTTTAAAAATGACTAAGTCCATATAATTTTTTTTTATAGATTCATGAGATATTTACCTATCATTTGATATATTTTTTTATGAATCTGACCATTTACCTTTCCACAGGGGGGGAATTGAAAATAACAACTTTTTGCAAAATGTATGGATCAATACAATTTTTTTATGAGAAATACTATTTCTATATCTCTTTTATCTTAAAATAACATAACCTTATGTAATATACTTTAATATTAAAAAAAACAATATGCTATTTTTGTGATAAAATTCTCAATTTATATAATATAACTTTTTGTAAAATGTATGGATCAATACAATTTTTTTATGAGTTATAATATTTATATACCTCTTTCATTCAACATATTTTTTATTTAAATAAAACCATTTCCCTTTATATATATTCATATATTACAATATTTTTTTTTTTTAAATATTCTTTTATAAAAATTTAGAATGATACCTATCCCAAAATGTAAAATATTTTTATTATTTATATATTTAGAAATTGGTCACCATCCTACCATTTTTCATTGTTTACTGTTTTATAAAATTAATACTTTTGTTCTTCAAGTATTTTGTCATTTTTAACTTAGTAAATTTTTATTTTAAAAATAAGGTGGATGGATTCATGGTTTGGCATTTAACAAAACTGGTAATCGATTATGCTGGGTTGCACATGATTCATCTATAACTGTGGCTGATGTGACCTCTGGTTCAATAGTTATGAATAAATTAAAAACAAATGAATTGCCTTTTATTAGCTGCATCTGGGTATCAGAATCATCAATTGTAGCTGCAGTAAGTTTAAATATAAATCTAGCAGAATTTTATGAATAATTGAATTAGGTAGACTATAATCAAACATACAAGTTATTTACAAAATTGTATTATGGTTGTTTATGGGTTTTTATTCTAGTTTTGTACAACTAGTACAACTTGTACAACTTTTAGTTTTTAATTATTAATATATAGTGTACTCCAAATGAGGTCTATTTTTTCAAATCTATTGATCTAATGTGTACTTTTTACTATAGTATTGTTTCATTTCAATCTAATACACTTATAAAAAAAATATTGTTAACTGTTACTATTATAGTAAATTTGAGTTTTAATTGTTTAAGTCTGTTTTTTTCAAATAGGAATGATCAGGGTTTGAGATTCAAAGCATTTATAAAATTTATTTTAGTAATTCTTAGTACAACAATAATAAATAAATGGATATTTATGTTTTTAACACTAAAATATGTATATGTGGGCTGAATATAACTAATATAATTTTACAAATTTGGTTGTCTGGTTCGACTCCAAACAATTAAAAAAATGCTTTAAGTTCTGAGCCCGGATAATTACATAATCTTATGCTATAATTAAATAAAAATTGTTAATTTTATGTTGTTTAAAAATTAAGATTCATTTCACATTATGTATGATTGTAATACTCTGGCCACATTAAGAAAATAAGATATCAAAAACCTAAAACCCAAAGAGATACTTAAATTCTATGTAGATATAGGACTCTTTGAATATATATATAGGTGCGGCTAAGTAGGACATTCTATATATAGTCTTAGGTATTCAACACTTTGGTGGGAATACTTATGTGAAGAAACTAATTATATTTCGGTAGGAGGTACGCACAGTGGAACTATAGGTCTAAGTGCTTGGGCAGTTCTATAACAACTAAAACAATTATACACACGTGATGACTTTAACACACGTGCCACCTATTTGTAAAAAAAATAGCATGTTGGCACACACTGAGTATGACAAAGCTAAAGTATACGCATGTTACATAGACAGTGTATTTAAACATAATAATATAGTCTCAGAACTTCACAAGCTTAACAGTTTAAAATTAAATAAAAACTGGAAGAAAATAATATATTTTTATCATTAAAAGTAGCATAAGAAATAAATAACAACCCTTTATATATTCTTTTTACCTTGTTTATCTAAACTTTTTAAAGATGTTCTTCTTAAAAGGATAAACTATTGATTGAAGAAAAACAACTTTTACCTGACCATCAAACAAAATATCAGTGGAAGTGTTACTCCATACTTGTGTATTCTTTATTAATTATTTATAAAACTATGTTTCATGTACAATTATTGTAAAATATATCCATACAAATAATTTTATCATTTAAATAATAAAGCCATTTGTCAGTTTGTAAAAAAAAAAAAAACTTATTACTTTATTCATTCTTCTAATTATATCTGCTGTGTTATAACTTAGTTTTTATTAGAGTTTACAAAAGTTCATGTTATTTATAAAATCAATTAAAAATAATGGAAAAAAAATTCAAATTTCAACTATTTTCTTTCAGGGTCATGGTTGTTGTCCAATGCTCTATTGTGTGAATTCTAACAATAAAGTGCAGTTTGTTTGTAAAATAGACAGTTCACAAAAAAAAGAAGCTGCTGGTTTAAGGTATTACTAAAATATTGTAGTGTTTATATGGTTATAAGAGCATAAAATAAAATATAAGTTCATGTCATTAAATAATGAATAAATGTAAATGATAGTTTAAAATGTTTGGTTTAATTAAGCACAATTCAGTGCCTAAGCCAGATATCAATTTAAAGAAAAAACCTTAAATTTATAATTGACTTTATTTTTTCATAATAGTTTTCAATATATATATATATAATAATTTACTTACCAATGGCCTATGGTTATATAAATTTTGAAATTTCTTCTTGGTATTTTCCCAATAAAATGCATTTTTTTTTTTTTTTTTTAATTTTTTTTAGTGCAATGAAAAAATTTCAGAGTTTAGATCGACAAGCCCGGATTAATAGTGATAATGAATTGGATACTAAACACCAAAATACATTGACTTGTTTACGTGTTCATTCTGAGTCTAATGGAGTGGTTACAAAATTTTCTAGTAGCGGCTTAGATGGAAAAATAATTTTATGGGAACTTAATGTAAGTATTAGAGTTCTTTAATAATATATTTTTAAGTATAAATTTCATAGTTTTTTCTTTTATAATTATCAAATTGATATCACAATTTATATAATGTGTATCTAAATAATATATTGTAAAATGGTATTTTTCCTCTATTTATCTGATATTCTGATTAATATTTATTATCATGTAATTAAATTAATAAATATATTGGATATTATTATTGTATTATACAAGCTTTATGTAATATATAATATATATAGGGTTGTTTAAAACATGTTAAATACATAAATAAACAGTTAAATAGGTTTAAAATGGCCCATAAGCCCTAAGTAAATTTTAAAATGTTTGGTGTTTTGAACACGCAATGTTTAAAACATAACAATCCTGTGTAATACAATAATATAATACAAATTTAGGAATCACTGGATTTTTTTTGTAAATTTCAACTTTTAATCTTACGATTGTTTTATTTTCCCAACTTAAAAGTATCAAAACAAAATGTAGTTTAATTATTATTATTTATTATTTAATATTGGTTTTAATAATTTAAAGGTTTATTACAATTTTAATGGGAAAAATTGTAATTGGTTTGAGTAAAATAAAATCATAAAATTTAAAAAATAATACTTTGTCTGTGGGATTCCAGTTTTTCTTATTGTGTAACCATCTAAACTAAAAAATGTATTATACCGTTGAACTCCCAGTGAAATTTCAATATAATTTGATGAGTCACATTAAAATAAAATCTACTAATCCCTTAATTTTTATGAAACTTTCTGGGAAATACAATGGTAATGTTGTTTTTTATTTAAATAAAAGTTGGAAGGTGAACTGAAAAATCACCAATTTTGGAGATATGAAATTTTAATTTTTCACTATTTTTAGATCCAACTAAATATCACCTAATTAATCATAACATGCATACTCCAGTATATACATATTATCATGTTTATTGAAATATCCATTTTAACGATTAAAAGACAATATAATAATAAATATTAAAATTATCCAAAAAATAATTATATATTGATGTTATATATCTTATAAATATTATACAATGATAGTAATACAAAAACATAAAGTTGTTTTATTTAGTATTATAGTAAAATAAAAAATTATTATTTAAAATGAAATAAATTAATTAATTGAAATAATTATTATTATTGGTGTAGAACATTGACAAAATGTTACAAGGACTGAAAATTTAGTACCAACAAAGCAACGAGACTGTAAATAGTTTTAACTAATTATACTTATAAATATGCTAAATACTGTTACTAATTATTTGTTATTTTATATAATTGTACTTTATACATTATTTATTATATATGTATTATTTATTAAAAATATTTTGATACAAATTGTACATAATTTAAATGTTAAAAATGTTCTAATATGTCAGTTCAATAATTGTACTATTTATTTATTTAACTATTATTTATCATTTGAAGTATTATTATTGAAATTCAATTAATACATTTTTTTTCTTCCATAAATCAAAATATCTGGAAGTTAATGTTAGTAATTTGATTTTTTGTGAATTATTTCTCAGCGTAAGATTTCTATTTGTCAATTTTTTTACTAAATAATTAAAAAATGTTGATAACATTATTGAAATTCAATAATCTATGTCCTCTATATTACAAAGTATAAATACATAAATAAATTATTGGTACATCAATATTTACAATTTTTATTTAAATAGTTATTCATTGATTTAAAGTATAAATTATTATATCATTTAAAGTTCTTGATATTTTAGCTTCGATGCGAAGCTGAGAAGGTATTGATTTTACTATGATGTGTTTTTTTATTTATTTATTATTTTTTTTTTTGTGTCTGTGAACGCTCAATCTTGGCTCTCGCTGGACTGATTTTGATGAACAATATGTCAAAAGATCATAAATCGTATCTAGTCGAAGACATCACCCTTAAAAATTGAAAAAAATCCGTCGTTCCCCATAAACGGGGGAAACCCCTCAAAAAATTACAAATTTAAAAATCGCTAATTTTCGACATTTTTTAAACTTTTTTTTACTTAAAATTGCTATAATTTTTTTAAAAATGACCGAATCAATATCTTCGAAGGAAAAATAACTGGGAAGAAACCAAAAGGATGCCCAAGAAAACAATATTTTAAAAATATCTTGTAACTTATGAACTGTGCGTCTTTTATTTTACTCAAGAATTTAGCGTCAAACGGAGAGGAGTGGCTTCAACGACAAGGTATTGCCATTAATAGATGTTGGTTATGATGTTAATGATTTGACTTTACTCAAAAGGCTATTTTTTCCTATGACATTATTTTTACAAAAAGCAAAATTTTTTCATTATTTTTTATTTTATTTTATTCATATTCACGCTTTTGAAATAAGTAATGTAAGTAAAGGTGCTATCATGTTTTGAAACAATTTTTCAAAAAAAAAAGTATTAGATAAAATATTTATAGAAAGTATTTATAAAATATAGAATCAAGAATTATAACACTTAATAGCATAATTTTGAAAATGGCAGCCCTTTTCACCATGAAGACAATCTAAAGTTTGAATTTTTTTATTGGCAATTTTTGGGGAGATTTTCCCCATTTACAGAAACGAGGGAAACTTTTTAAGAGTAATATCTTTGACTAGATACAATTTGTGATTTTTTTATGTATTGTTCATTATAATTAGTTCAGTAAGAGCTGAGAATAAGTGGTAACAGACACAAAAAATATTTTTTTTTATTATTTATTGTCTTATAATAGTGATTAAAATCACTATCATTGGAAACGCTTCGATAAAAATCAGTAGTGTTATAAAACATTGATGGATTATTCCAAAAGCAAAATAACTTCTATATCCTGATAAAAAATGTTATGATTTATTAATATTATTTATGAATATATATTTATTATAACTATTAAATATAGTAGAAAATTGATGCTTAATAATTTATATTGTAATTTTAAAGTAGTTTTATAAAGAAATTATAAAGTAATTATTTTATGGCAAACTTGCATAAAAAATTGGAGGACTTGATACAAAACTTTACTGAAAATAATTTGTTGTTAATTATGAATTAATAATATACAAAAAATTTTTATTAGAGTCAAAAATATATTTTTCTGAACCCATTTCAAATCTGCAGTTAGATTTTTTCTATCACCTTTTTCTTGAAATTATTACTAAATAGTTAAAAACAAGTATTAACATATAAAATATTAAAAATTAAGAAAAAAATGCAAAAAGTCATTTTTACAGATGAGGTTCAAAACTCGTTTCGAGAGCGAGAGTCTACATTATAACCCGAGCGGCCATCGTACATTATTTAAAAGCTAAAAAGAATAATTTAAGCTAATTCAAAAATTCGTCGTTATTTTAACTTTAAAAAATATTAAATAAATAAAAATTAAATGTAAGTTAAATTCGTGTAACATTTATAAAAATCGTAGTCCTTTTTACCATGGAAAACTTTTATATTATAATAAATAAAAAATAATAATTTTGAACACAAAAATAGCATATTTTTGAATACGGCAGCCATATGCACATAAAAGATAGATCATCGGTGTTAATTTTTTTTTTTTAATTTATAGTACATAACAATTAATTAATTATCTTTATTTTGTCATAAGTTTAAAGACGCAGTATATCTGTGAAATTTTCAAAAGTAAAGTTAAAAAAGTAGACTTTTTAAGCAAAAGTTTCTATATTAAGTCCTCCCCTGTGAGCAAATAAAGGGTCAAATTTTGAAAAAAATTATATTAAACAAAAGGAAAATACCTAAAAATTAATTAATTTGTTTATTTTAAAAAAGTTATAGCAGTTTTAATAATAAAAAAGGTAAAAAAATGACAAAATTTATCAATTTAAAAAATCTTAATTTTTTGGGAGATTTTCCCCTATTATTGGGGAATGAGAACATTTTTTTTAAGTTTTGGGATTTTTCATCTAGATATGATTTGTGATCATTTGACATATTGTTGAGAGAAATCGGTTCGGTGAGAGCTGAGAAAAAGTGGTAACAAACACAAAAAAAAACACATCATAGTAAAATTAATACTTTCTCCATTTCGCATCAAAGTTAAAAAAACTTATCATAGTAAAATTAATACCTTCACAGTTTTGCATTGAAGCTAAAATAAAAAATAAACACAACATGGTAAAATTAATATCTTTTTAGCTTCGCAAAGTTAAAATGGAACTAAAAGAAACCAATAAAAAAATTATCAATATTATTTTTATATGTCGTTTATTTAAATGAATAATTTTTTTTATTAATACAATAACATGCTACAATAATATATCTAATAAAATAATTTTTTTAACTTTTGTTTTTTTATGAGAGTAATAACAAAAAGATTAAACAAAAACATAAATAAATAAAAAAATTATTTTCGCAATTGGATTTAATAATAACTAAGATTAAGCAGTAAAATATGACAAAAGTACCTGGTAACAATAATCAGTAAAATCATAATATAGGAAATAATATTATATTATATATTATATTTAGTCAATTACATATTGGATAAGCAGTAAGCTCTTTTTAAATTAGTTCCTTAAATTGTTAAATACATTATCACCATGCAATGGTTAATTAAGTAAAACAACTTATTATTTTAATAATATGTATTATTATAAAAATCAAATCACAAAAATTTCTTCTCTTAGTAAACTAAGCATCATAACATTTTTTTTTGGTAACTAAATTAAATATTTATTTGAATACTTGGTTACAGTTTCTAATAAATTAAAATCATCAAAAAATAGCAAGTTTATTTAATTAATAAAATCTAATACTTTTTAAATTGTATTTAATATCATAAATACATAAGTAGACTAAGTTCAAATATTTTTAAACAATATTTGTACTTGTAGAAGAAAATTTAAAAAAAATTGTTTTGGATAAATTGTAGATTTTACTTACATAAGTTTTAAAACAAAATGTTACAGTAAAATAAGAACAGAAAAATAATAATTTTTAATTAATGAAAATTGCATTGACATATAATAATTATATCTTATACCATTCTTATTTATTCTCTATTGTAATTAAGCATTCCCATATTCTATGAAATATAATCTATTATTAGCAGTCTTAAATAATAAAGTAGATGGTAACTCAAAACAATTTAAATAAAATGAATATAAAAGGTGATAAAAATGTTACATAAATAGGAGGTAAAATAGTTTAACAAAAACTTACACATGTTTGTTCAAATTAAATTATTAACAAATATCTAGATAAAATTTAGGAGGCTAAAACATATTTTTGAAACTTGAAATTGTCAATATTTTGTATATTGAAAGTATCTTACTATAAATTTGTTCCCTACTTTACATTTCCTAATATACAGTTACTTAAGAATAATCTTCCATCAATATTTATTTCCACTGTTCAAGGAAATTTAGGTGAAAAATTTTAAAACTTTCTAGCATTTTTACTAGTTTTTCAGATTGTGGTAAAATAGTAGTTCTGCAAGTAAAAGAGTAAATTAAAATGAATATTAAGTATTCTTATATATAAAATCTTTTTTTTCAATAAAATAATACAATATACAGTGTCCCAGCAGGTTTTGATTTATTTAATAACTTTTGAACCAGAAAATATTTTGGTGGGTATAGCTTGCACTCATGTATATTAAAATACGTACTCTGTATGTACTACATACTCAATCTATGTATTAAAATTAATGTAATGCAGTAAGTACTTATTCTAAAGTTGTTATTTACTCAGAATATATTTTTTTAAGAAAAGAACTATAAAATGATTATTTTGAAAATTTATTTGAAAAATTATTTTTTTTTTTAATAGAGACAAATTATAAAAAGTGGTAGCACAGTGGTGACGTGGCATAGTTGGATCAAGTATAATGATATCTGACAGTTATTAAAATCACTATCATAAAAAACGCTTTGATGCAAATCTTTAGATAGTCTTTAATTTTTAATATAATTTGTTGGATTATTCCAAAATAACATTAAGTCCTATTTTCTTAATTATACCCTGATTATAAGTTTTATGATTTTATATTTACATATTAATAATTTAGTATTAATTTTAACAGAGAAATTATAAAAGAATCTTAAGTATCTGCATATTTCATTACCTCTATGATAAACGAGTACCAAAATTATATAATAAATGTAAGTATGGATTTGTTAAAAAAAGTTTTAAAAAATTGTAGAAATTTAGTAATTTTAAAGAATAATGTTATTTTTATAGAGCACAGTATTTCCGGAACATTTTCAAAAGTTATGTTGAAAAAGATTTTGAATCCCCTTATAGGTAGGAAAATTTATATCAAATGAAAGGGAAATACCTAAGATATTTATAATAAAAAAAACTATTTTAATTCATTCCTCTTTTCAAAATGTATGACTCTTTTAAGAAAAAGAAGTTAAAAAAATGTTAAAATTTAAAAATTTCAATTTTTGGGGGAGTTTGCCCAAATTACATAAAATGAGGAAATTTTTTTTAATTTTTAGAGCAATGTTTTCAACTAAATACCTGAAATGATATGTTCCAGGAACTTGACCAAAACCAGATCCAGGAATGATACAAATTCCAGTGTTTTCCAAAAGTTGAAATGCATAAAATGCATTTGGTTCTATGCTCTGATTTTTAGCTTCTTTAATTGCCTTTTCTGGTAATTTTATCTATGTAAAATAAAATGATAAATACTTCTATATTTAATTGGTACAATCTAATATAAAGTTTTAGTATCTATGTACCTGAGGAAATGCATACATTGCTCCTTGAACTGGATTACAAGACATACCAGGAATACTATTAAATGTGTCAGCTACTAACTTAGCACGCTCTTTTAATGATTTTAGTACACTTGTTTTTTCAGCTTGAAAGCTTTCATAAGATGGTTCTCCTGGTTGTGGGGGATTCACTACACAATCCATAACAGTCTAGTAAAATGTCATAATACAAAAATATATTAAACGCTAAGAATTTATTAAGGTGAAGGGTGTTTAAGGACTTTAAAAAAAAGACAAAATAAATGTTAGATTTGAATGTAGTGCAAAACGCTATTTTCTACGCAAAAAATCTATTTTAATTAAAAAATAAATAAATCAATTTTTTTATTGTAAAATATTTTAAATAGTGTCATTTGAAATAATATTAATCAACTATAATATATTGTATAACTTATAATATAATATAATAATACTTGTAATATATATTGTATTACTTGAAAAATACTTACTTGTCCTAAAACAGTAGGACATAACATTGCCGATATACTTTTGTGCAACATAGCTTTAACATTTGGATCCAAATTTATAACTTCAGTATATCCCCCTCTAAGGCCACATTCTCCCATGTAACCTATTTAATAAGTAAATTTAAAATAGATTTATTTTGGGGAAAAAGAAATATTAAAATAAAAATAATATATTATTAAAACATACAATGTGTCTTGGTTATTAATGACAAATCTTATAACTTCTGATACAATTATCATCTTGTTGAAATTTTTTTTTAATAATTATTATCTTATTAGAATATTAAATCATGTATTTATTAAATAGTCCTTTTTTTATAAAAAATTATCATGGATCGATAACAATTTAAGGGCAAGTACTCATAAGTCATAAACAATTTAATACAAAAAATGAAAAAGAAAGCTGTGTTAAACATGATTACATTTGTTGGACCTAAACGTATTAAAAAAATGTCCAAAAACAAATCCGATCTGTGGCTTAACTTTAGATAAACAATTAGGAATTAGCCTTAAGCCAAAAATAATACAAAAATTAATCAATAGGAAGTTATAAATATGTCAAACAGTAATAAAAGCAGATGGTAGCATTTTGATGAAAAACAATTAAACTGACTTTTACTTTAATTTCACTAATTTTTTTCCAAATAAAAGTGATCAAATAAATATTAATAAATATTTCTTGAAATATTTACATTTTGTTATTTGTTGCAAATTAAGACAATAGTATACAGGGTGATTTTTTTATCATAACCCATTCAATTACTTACAGAATAATAATAATTTAAACATTTTTTTTTATTATTATCTTTAGTTACACATTATTCTTGAATTATTAACTATGTAATACTTTTTAAGTTCATCCCTTATGCCTGGTAAGGGTGTCAACTTTGTTTTTTTAAATGGTAACACATATTTTTAATTTAATAAAATGTTTGAGTTTTTAATTTAATAGTAAATGGCATTTGAATTTTTAATAAAACTTAATTTGTTTATTAGATATAAACATTTAAAGTTTCAAATTTTTGAGTTAATATATAGGTATAATACACAAGGGATTACAAATACAGGTAGCTAATTGGTTTTTTATGACATCGATATTAGCAGGTACACAGCATTGTTATTATCAATGATAGTAAGGTACATTGTTGTGAGTTTATAAATACACTAACTGACAATACAAAAAGTATATCTATTGATAGTCATAATTGATAATAAACAATCCGTGACTGTGATAGCAATATCATAAAAAACCAATTAGCTACCTGTATTTGTAATCCCTTGTGTATTATACCTATATATTAACTCAAAAATTTGAAACTTTAAATGTTTATATCTAATAAACAAATTAAGTTTTATTAAAAATTCAAATGCCATTTACTATTGAATTAAAAACTCAAACATTTTATTAAATTAAAAATATGTGTTACCATTTAAAAAAACAAAGTTGACACCCTTACCAGGCATAAGGGATGAACTTAAAAAGTATTACATAGTTAAAAATTCAAGAATAATGTGTAACTAAAGATAATGAAAAAAAAAAATGTTTAAATTATTATTATTCTGCAAGTAATTGAGTGGGTTATGATAAAAAAATCACCCTGTATAATGGTATTCAAGATGGCTTATGAGAATCTAGCCTAGCGCCAATTAAAAACTTAACAAATGAGTACCAAAAAGTACAGGAAACATTGATGGGAAAAATAATGTCAAATAGAGTTTACAAATAGGGATTTGTTGTTTTTGCAATATTCTATTTAATAAATGATAATTATTTCAAATTAATAAAAAAAAAACCAGCACAGGGGGGTCGCGGCACAGTGGTGTCGTGGCATAGTTGGATCAAGTATAATGATATCTGACAGTGATTAAAATCACTATCAAAAATAAACGCTTCGATGCAAATCTTTAGATAGTGTTTAATTTTAAAAAAATTGGTGTTTTATTCCAAAAGCTACTTGATCTGCTAGTTCCTTATTAATATCCTGATTAAGATAAAATATGTCAAATGAAAAAGAGATTATTAAAAAATATTATTTCTCATAAAAAAATTATGTTGATCCATAGACTTTTCAATAAGTTATAACATTATAATGTTAAAAATGTAAAAAATAATAAAATCGAGAATTTTAACACGAAAATAGCATTTGGTAGCCATTTTCGCCATGAAGACAAGTCCAGAGGTCAAATTTTTTTTTTTCAAATTAAAGTACATTACATTAGCTTTAATTTAAGATATATATAAAAGTGTCAGACCTTCCGGAACATTTTCAAAAGTTATGTTGAAAAAGTTAATTTTTTGTGAAAAAGTTGTCATTTTAAATCCCCCCCTGTGGGCAGGTTAAGTGTCAGATTTACAAAAAAAATATACCAAATGATAAGTAAAGACATCAAGCATCTATATAAAAAAAAATTATATTGATATGTTCATTTTTGAAAAATTTAGAGCATTATTAAGTTAAAAAAAAAAAAAGAAAATTATATTACAAAAATCGTAATTTTTTATTAACTTTGATGTCAACTTTCACCACGAAGACAAGTCCAGAGGTCAAATTTTTCAAATTAAAGTATATTACATAAGCTTTAATTTAAGATATACATAAAAGTGTCAGACCTTCCGGAACATTTTCAAAAGTTATGTTGAAAAAGTAAATTTTTTGTGAAAAAGTTGTCATTTTAAATCCCCCCCTGTGGGCAGGTTAAGTGTCAGATTTACAAAAAAAATATACCAAATGATAAGTAAAGACATCAAGCATCTATATAAAAAAAAATTATATTGATATGTTCATTTTTGAAAAAGTTAGAGCATTATTAAGTTAAAAATATAAAAAAAAATTATTTTACAAAAATCGTAATTTTTTATTAACTTTGATGTCAACTTTCACCACGAAGACAAGTCCAGAGGTCAAATTTTTTTTTTTCAAATTAAAGTATATTACATTAGCTTTAATTTAAGATATATATAAAAGTGTCAGACCTTCCGGAACACTTTCAAAAGTTAAGTTGAAAAAGTTCTACTTTCTATATGCATTTTTTATATTTGAAGCCCCCCCATATATAGGGAAATAGTCTGATTTAAAAAAAAAGTATATCCAATGAAAGATGTATATAAATACTACTTCTCATGAAAAAATTGTATTGATCCATACATTTTTTAAAAAGTTATAGCACTTTAAAGTAAAAAATGTAAATTATAAAATCGAAAATTTTCACACAAAAATAGCATTCGGTAGCCGTTTTCACCATGAAGACAAGTCCAGAGGTCAAATTTTTTTTTTTCAAATTAAAGTACATTACATTAGCTTTAATTTAAGATATATATAAAAGTGTCAGACCTTAAGTGTCAGACCTTCCGTAACATTTTCAAAAGTTAATTTTTTGTGAAAAAGTTGTCATTTTAAATCCCCCCCTGTGGGCAGAAAAAAGGTGAAATTTACAAAAAAAAATATTCCAAATGATAGATAAAGACATCAAGCATCTATAAAAAAAAGAATTATATTGATATGATCATTTTTGAAAAAGTTACAATAGTTTTTAGTAAAAAAAATTGAAAAAATTTCGAAAATTAGCGATTTTTAAATTTGTAATTTTTTTGGAGGTTTCCCCCATTTACGGGGAACGAGGGAAATTTTTTCAATTTTGAAGGGTAATGTCTTCGACTAGATACGATTTGTGATCTTTTGACGTATCGTTGAAAGAAATCGGTTTGGTGAGAGCTGACAAAAAGTTATAACAGACACAAAAAAAAAACACATCTTAGTAAAACCAATACCTTCTCAGCTTCGCATCGAAGCTAAAATAATTGACTATTTTAAATTCAATCTTTAATTATTTTAATTCCGGTTAATTAAAAACAAATGTCATAGAATTTAGCACAATGAAAATTAAGAAAATGTGATACCTATTTTTTAAATATTGTAATAGAAACAATATCATTATCTTAAAATTGCAAATAATATTGATAAGTAAAATTATATTGTTGAATATTTCAAATAATTACTACAAATTTATGACTTCAACTAATTACCTTTTGAACATGACATGAACGATGCCAATTCCATTTCACTATAAGGTGGCCCCAACTCGGTAAGTACTTTTTTAAATGAATAGAACTTGCTATCTTCACCATAAACATTATCTTGGTAAACCTAATTATTAAAAATAATAAACATAAAATAAAATAAAATTACATTTATGTAATTGAAAGTTTCACTGCAAAATCTAAATAAGTTCTTTTTTATTAAAAAAATTATATTTATATATAAAAATACAGGACAATTTTTTATATAAAACTCTTTAATAACAAAATTGATTTATTGGTGTGAAATTAAAAAGAAAAGGTAGAGGAAGACCAAAAAAGAAATAAAGGGATTTTATTGAACGGCTGATGTGAGTGTAGATGTGGGTGATTGTGTCAAGTGGAAGTTTAAGATAAGGGTAGCTCACCCCAAATAGTTAAGGCGAGGAAAAAGAAAATAAAGTTAAGAAGTAACACCACATACAGTAGAACTCCAATTATCCGAATTAATGGGGACCGGGACCCATTCACTGACTAATCAAAATAAACAATGACAGGTGACTGCAATGCGCCGGAACTGGAGTGGGAACTCTTACCACGTGTTGTGCCTACACTGACGCCGCGGACTTTGGACAAATTTTTTTCTGATTTTTTCTGAAAGTGATTCGGATAATCGGCGATTCGGATGATCGGAGTTCGGATAATTGGAGTTCTACTGTATCTCTGTATTATCAATTATAAGGAGAGGAAAAACTAATTTCTGTCATATTTAAACTATATTAGTGGGACAATGTGGCCAAGTCGGTAATGTAGCAGTGCTTGTTGCGCACTGCCTCGGGTTTGAAACTCAGTCACGGGCCGCTTCATTTGCCAAAGGAGAGATCAGTTTGGTAATTGGAATTGCCATCCCACTCTCCAGTGACAGACTAACCACCCGTCCCAGAGTATAAATGGTTAAGAAAACCTTCTTCTAAGGGGAGGTCACTATGGCCCTTAATAGACTAATAAAAGCAATAAAAATAATTTAAACTTTATTATATAATATTACCACTTTTTATTTGGAATTATTTTTATTGATTCTATCATAATTTTGAATCTATAAATCTATTTCACACTTAACAATGAATAAAATAGTATTTCTACTAAAGAGACAATATAATTATTATATAGAAAAAAGATAAGATAACTAAATATATAAATATATAAATACAGTATTCAACATAAAAATCTATAGCATATATGTTTTATTCTATTTTCTATTTTACCTCATCAGCCAATAAAAAAAGCTTTTCCTTGTAAGCAAATTTAATGACATCAATTACATTTTCCTTAGTTAAAACTTGACCTAAAAATTAAGAATAAAGTTAGAATAATATGGATCACCTACATATTTTATATTAAAGTGTTAATAATTTCCAAAGCACTAGTTTAAAAATAATTATCAATCAGTATATTTTTAGTTAGATCATTATCTTATTTGAAAGCTAGTTAAAATATTTATATTTTCAACAACATTATGTGAGTCATAGTAAAGCAATATTTCTGTCAAGTACAAGAGTTACTATTTACTGCTCGATAAAAAAAAAACCTTGCAAATAACACAACAAGCACTTGTTTGTTTGTTTTTTTTTTTTTTAAGAGAATTGTAACATAAAGACAGATAATAAAATTATCAAATTTAATGAAATAGTTTTCAAAAATTTTGAATACTTTGAGAAGTATTAAAATACTTAAAAACTTTGGTACTCTAGCTAACTCTATTTTCAAAGTTCAATTATTTATACAAAATAAAATAAAAATTACCAGTTGGATTTCCTGGATTAATAACTACAATAGCTCTAGGATTACAGTATTCTCTAGCTTCTTTAATTGAACGTTCTAATTCCTTTATGTCTAATCCCCAATTATTATCTTCATCCAAATAATATCCAACCTATTTTAATATTAAAAAAAAAATTAATTTTTTTAAAATTAATACTTACTACATTAAATGCTGACAGAATTTATTTTAGAACCAAACATTTTTATATGATCAGCAAAGCCTGGATTATTATGCAAAAAATATGAGCATAAATATGCATGTAAAATTGATTAGATATACAAAAAAATGTATAGAATATAGAAATATTAAAATATATAAATATAGGTTGATAGGTTTTTCATAAACTATTTGATTACTCTCAAAATAATTACATTATTGAAAAAAAAATGTTTGCTTTTCTTTAAGTAACATATATTTCTTGATTTATCAACTAATAATTACTTTTTAGAATTATCTCTTAAACTTATAGGGGTGTCAACTTTATTTTTTCAAATGGCAATGTACATAATTAACTAGCTTATTTAATAGATAATTATGTAATGAAGAAAATGACTTATTAACTTTTGGACCAGTATTCAAAAGTTATTAACAACTTAATATTTATACTAAAGGTATAAAGGAGTTGGTGCAACTGTTTTTATCATTAGTTATTTCTCAGCCATACTCTTCCTCCCACCTAAGTATAAAAATAAGAATAACTAACAAAGTACTTATCTCTAAATGTTGTTACAACCAGTCATTTTCTTAATTACATCATTATCTATTAAATAATCTGGCCAACCCCAATTTTTTGGTATTAAGGCGAGGAATAAAGAAAAGAAAAAAGATCTATTAAATAAGCTAGTTAATTATGTACATTGCCATTGGTAAAAAAAACCCAGCACAGGGGGGTCGCGGCACAGTGGTGACGTGGCATAGTTGGATCAAGTATAATGATATCTGACAGTGATTAAAATCACTATCAAAATAAAACACTTCGACGCAAGTCTTTAGATAGTGTTTAATTTTAAAAAATTGGTGGATTATTCCAAATGCTACATGATCTGCTAGTTCCTTATTAATATCCTATTTAAGATAAAGTATGTCAAATGTAAAAGGGATTATTAAAAAATATTATTTCTCATAAAAAAATTATGTTGATCCATACACTTTTCAATAAGTTATAGCATTATAAAGTTAAAAATGTGAAAAATAAAATCGAGAATTTTCACACAAAAATAACATTCGGTAGCCATTTTCACCATAAAGACAAGTCCAGAGGTCAATTTTTTTTTTTCTAATTAAGTATATTACATTAGCTTTAATTTAAGATATATATAAAAGTGTCAGACCTTTCGGAACATTTTCAAAAGTTAAGTTAAAAAGTTGTCATTTTAAATCCCCCCCTGTGACCAGGTTAAGTATCAGATTTACAAAAAAAACTATACTAAATGATAAGTAAAGACATCAAGCATCTATATAAAAAAAATTATATTGATATGTTCATTTTTTGAAAAAGTTACGGCAGTTCTTAGTAAAAATAATTGAAAAAATTTCGAAAATTAGCGATTTTTAAATTTGTAATTTTTTTGGAGGTTTCCCCCATTTACGGGGAACGAGGGAAATTTTTTCAATTTTTAAGGGTAATGTCTTCGACTAGATACGATTTGTGATCTTTTGACATATCGTTGAAAGAAATCCGTTCGGTGAGAGCCGAGAAAAAGTGGTGACAAAAAAAAAAAAAAAAAAAACACATAGTAAAACCAATACCTTCTCAGCTTCGCATCGAACCTAAAAAATAGCTTGACAACTTAATAAGTTATAAGGAATGATTATTAAAAGTAATTTATAGCTAATAAGCCAAGATATATACATAACTAAAAATAACCAAATATTTTATTCCCATTATTGTATTTATTTTGCGATTAATCGAGTAGTTTATGATAAACAGATCAACCTATATATAGAGAATCTACATATTATAAAACACCAATAATTTGAATTATAATTATTTTAGATAGGTTATTAAAGGATATGCATTTACATAAAAAATTAGTCCATAACTTTGTAATGCTCAGATAAAAGTGCTCAAGTTTAAGATTTATCATTTCATAGCCCTTTATAGTACAAAAAGAGAGTATTTTTTTTAATATTATGATGTATTTAACCTAATTTACGCAATTTTTGTACTTAAGTGCAGTTACCCTAGCATCACATAATTATTAGTAACTTGAGGTAAGCTTTGCGTTTAAATATTGACAAAAATATTTTATTTATACTGTATAATGTTGTACTGACAACATTATACTGTATAACAATTATTATAAATACCTGTCATAAGAAAATCTTAACTTATTCAATTTTCCCTATTTTTTCTAATTCATCAAATTTTTGTTAATAAAGTTATAGTAGCTCAATGCATGTAATACACAGAACTTCTATTGTTTAACTTACCTGTGCCATATTAAATTCTGCTAAAGTAGCAGAATATAATGGATACTGTGGAATTGGAATCATAACTCCAGGATTTTTTCCTTCAATATCAGCTACCATAAGCCTGAGAATAGCCTAAAAAATTATATTTTCATAAGGTTATCAAAAAATAATGTAATTTAAATAAAATTTCAAAACATTAAATAACTATTTCTTTATTAGGCCTTGGAAATTGAAAAATAACTGTATTTATTTTAATATTAAAAAGTATTTTACTGTTATAGTAAAAATATATTTTGTAGAGTTAATTTTCTTACTGCTAAAAAAATAATACCAACCTTAATCCCATCTGATGCACCAGCACATAAAATAACATTTAAGTAATCACAAGGGATACCATCTCTACGTTCTATATACTGTGCAACATGTTTGCGTATAATTTCTATTCCTGGAGAATCAGTATAAGAGCCTAAAAACCCATGGAAAACTGATTAAGTTAAATCATAATATATCTATAATCAAAATGAAAAGAGACCTACAAATGAAATTAAAAAATTCAATACTTCAATTATGTTTTTATAATATTGTAATTTCACTAAAACCTGATTGCATGGAAATATTTTAAGCTCTTAATTTAGCCTTACAAATTAAAATATTTATAGAATTGATAGAAATTTAAGTTTAAATAGTTTGTGTTTTTTAAAAACAATAGTATCATAAAAATAATAACCAAAAAAAATATGTAATTACCAACACTTCCACCGCGACAACCTTCTAATATGGCTTTGGCCCTATTTTTAACATCTTCAGGATAAATGTTTGAACCTAACAATTCTGGTTGAGTAACTAACACAAGAACCTTAAACATAAAATTACAATATAAATACAATATAAAAAAGAATGATAACATAACAAATACTAATTCTAGAATCATTGAATACTTATACTGAAATAAATATTTTTTTTTAGATATTTTATAAATATAATATACTTGTTTTAATTGTTAATTATAAATTATTATTGAATCGCATCACTGATAAAATGTGGAATTTTTATGGCCAATTTCAGTCTTCTTTATTTAAGATTTTAAACATATATTAAAAACTTACTTGACGTATAAATGTGATAGGTTTTTGTCCCATTGCATGACAATCACCAATATTAGCTTTAAGTACTTCTGTAAATGGCTTTTCTTTACCCTAATAGACATATATTAGTGATAATAAGTACATAAAATAACTTTCTTTCTTACTTCTTTTAATTCATTTTCGATTTCTGTAGCTCTAATTAATAAAGGTCCTCTAACGGCATATTCCATAAGTTTTATGTTAGGATTCATGTTATCGATTGTAAGTGTTCGCTCGCCAAGATTCATATTTAAGTTAGTAGAAAAACTTCTTGATTTTAATGACAACAACCTCAAAAATGGGGGAAATCTTAAATTTGACTGCACACTATGTTTTAAACTATTGTTGGCTAAATAGGCGATAAAATTATTAAGTTTAGGTAAAGACATATTTATATGGTAAAAATACTTTTAAAAACACTTTTAGATAACTGATATTTACGTAAGATTAGGAACTCAAGTAATTAAAATTAACTCAATGGAAGGATTAAATTTACAGACAGAATGGAATACTGATTAAAATTACTAACAAGTTACACAGGTCAATTAAATAGATAATACTGACGTGTAATCTATTGAAACATATACAGGTGTTATCGAAAAAATTTTAAATTAATGTACACCATAAAAATATAAATGATTTATGTTTTTATTGCTATATTTCAATTCGTAACAATATTAAATGAACTAAATTATATACCACTAGATAATTTTTTATTATTAAAAATTTATAGAAAAATTTACAACATAGGCTTACCAAAAACTAGGCTAATTATAAGACAAGATTTAGCTTTTTCCTTTTTACAATAGTTCAATAATAAGTTATTAAAATATATTTGATAACGAACTTTAATATTTTATCGAATAAAAGTTTAGAATCTAATTATTTGATATGAATTAAGTTTGGGTGGATACGACCAAAGACCATCATATGGTAACGTGGTAATCAAAACGACTGAAGTGTCAAAATTTAAAACTAAGTACGGTCAAGGCCTTTATTTGTCTACTTGAACCTATTAAGTCGTAAGTTGATTTCGTATACGTGATTTGACATCACAGATTTTTCAATGGACTCTTTAAATTTGCCTACGATGATTTATTTGTTTATTTTTTATACATAAGTAAACTGTTTTCGTCAGGCTCATAATTTTTACCTTTTTGAATACCAAATAAAATCATGTCATAAAAGTCAGAGGGAGAGTATGATATACTCACTTATATACATATATATTATATAAATGGTAAAATATATGTACTTAGTAAAATTAATACCTTCTCAGCTTCACATCGAAGCTAAAACCAATGCTCCTCAATCAAATTTATTATGAAGAAAGCCTAATTTTAAATTTACAATAAAAAATTGTGTTCCACAAATATACTTGCATATTTGTTGAAGAGTCACTTCTAAGAAACGTTCCAGATGAATATATGGAAACGAGGAAAATGCGATCGACGATTCTAAGAATGTTTCTGGCGGCATTTCTATTTGCGTAATATTTTGGACAATTCAATGCAAAATATTTAAAATTACCTACTGTTAATATATTTAACTACTCAGTATTGGTGTTAAAATCATGACTATAGGCGCAATCACGTGACACAGTAGTATTTAACCTTTTCCAACATGCTAATATTATAATTTTTTATTATTATATAATTTTTCTAGTATTAACGGTACAACTGGAGTAATAATAAATTTACAATTGTTTAATACGAAAAAAACGTCTGTCATGGATATTAACTTGGTGGAAATTCTTTTATTAACAATTAAGAGAATGAAGTAGAACTTTGAATACGCTTTTAGGGTAAACATTTATTAATGATAAAACTTAAATAGCTTTATTATAGTACGACACGGTCAATATTGTGTGGCGTAACGCAGTTAATCATTCAGTCACCGCCTTATCACTGGTGTGTCAACTGCGCTGTTTACTTTTAGTTACCAGATGGGTGACCATATGAAAACAGTAACACGTGCTTTGCCCCCATCAGGGTTCTTCAGCTATAATGAGGTTACGCAAGATCGATAACCGGTGTAATAACTTGTCAAAACCATTTATAAGGCAGAGATACATTAATGAATGTATGGCGAACTGGGATTCTATACCCAGTAACAACCACACACTGTGTCGGATATCCTATTAAATATAATAAGTTAGTGCTTTAATTAGTGGAAAAAACGTAATTTTATTTTAATTTAAGTTGATTATTTGAGGGTTATTTTAATAAATTATTCGTTTCTTAATTTTGAATGATTTAATCAATGGCGCAAATAAAAAAAAAATCTGAGAGGTGCTAAAATTGTGTAAGGTTTACAATGCCGCGGGCAGACCCGGACACTTCGCGCGCGACCGTTTCTCCGTCGGACTCTTGATATGTAAATTTATAATTTATCTCTTTTCGAAAATAGGGTTTACTTATAATTTTTTTTCTAACTACTTTATTATATTTGGTTAACAAACTTAATATTTAGCAAATTACAATAATTTTAGTCAATTTTTATTAAATTAAGTTAAAGAAAACACTATGATTACTAAATAAGCGTTTATTTGATAATAATTAAAGACTTAAAAACGAGAAAATTACATAAAATGATAGAACTCAATATGAGTACATTAAGTACTTCAATCCATACACTGATTTCTAATAACTATTAAGATTTTTATCTCTTGCGAATATTTTAGCTTTGATGCGAAGCTGTGAAGGTATTAATTTTATGATTATATGTATTTTTTTATGTCTCAGCTCTTACTGGACCGATTTTTCTCAACGAATTTTTTCCTTTGTTGACTGGCCTAGATGTCAATTTTAAACTTGTAATTGAGCTAAAAGTTATGGTAATATATTCAATTTTTTTTACTATAAACTTTCATAAATCTTTATCAAAAATTTTTCTTCAACTTTAAAGAACCAAAAAAATAGGTTAAAATTGAAAATTTGGACTGATTATTTTTAACATATTAAAAATCAAATCAGTAATAATTTGAAAACAAATTTTTTTTTCTTTTAATTATTATTTTATATGTATTTAGTAATAATATTAAAAATTAGAAGTGATAGAAAAAGTCTAATTGCAGATTTGAAAACAACGCGAAAAGTTGATTTAGAAAAGAATATTTTTGCTTCTGATGAAAGTTTCTTGTAGTCCAGTTCATTTATTTATAGTAACAAACAGTAAATGTTTATAATAAAAAAAAATTATTTATTTTACCATAACTTTTAGCTCAATTGGCATCATTAAATAGAAAATTAAAAAAATTGTATCGTTAAAATTGGTATGCAGTCAGAAAGTTTTATAATTACTATTTATTGTAAATTTATCAGAAAAGCTCAATATTTTTTTGCATTTTTATGGTAATAGATAACTTAAATAGAA